ATTTCAGTAGGCTTCAAAGTCATATCATAGTGCCTCCTAAATATTAAAGGACACCTTAGAGAGCTGTTCTGCCAATGCTCGCATTTTTCCCTTTCATATGCTCCTAAAAATCCCATGATTTTCAGTACCACCTCTACACTGATGGCACCTGGCTGTTTCAAGAATGGCCTCCCTCTGTGCTTTTGTCATCTTTAGCAGCCAGACACTCCTGTTTCTGCTTGGATGTTTTGTCACCATCTTTAACTCAGTGCTTCAAAATCTAACTTCTCATCTTTTGTCCCATGATGCATTCTCTTGTTCTGATCTGCATGCCTTGTCTTCTTCTCTGTTGAAGCCTTGTGTAATCTTTTATTCACATCTCTCCTTTGCTCTCTATATTCAGCCTTTCATCAAATCCCAGGACCTCTGTTCTGATCATGCTGCAGTCATCTGCTTGTACTACAACTTTTTTGATAGACCTCTGTTGTGAACCATTTATCTCTACCTATACCTCATTTGCCTAAATTTTTCACTCTTCTCATTACAGTGGAACGTCGACTTAAAAGCATCCCGCCTTAAGAGCATTTTTAGTGAAGAGCTGTGGCTCAGCTTGGGTTTCACTTTGACATACACCAGCATTTTGAGTTAAGAGAAGGACTGCTAGTGCTAGAATACATTGCTTTAGGGCTTCAAGAGAGCACCCTCTGTGCCTCGTTCTTTTGTCTGCTTTGGGAAACTGCTGCTTTGTTCTTTTCCACTTTGAGGAACTTAGAGTTAATTGATTTGAGGTGGTTTTTATTCCTGGTGTATTTGGCTTCATGCAGAGAGAGAGAGAGAGAGCGCAAGGTAGGGAGCCTGGAATGTGTACAGTTTGAAGAGAATGATGCTTCTACCTCTTCACTTTGTGCTTCCTTGCCACAACTTTGTGCATCTACCATTTTAAAGTTGATCTTTCTTTTTATTGTTCCATGTGAATGTGCATTTATACATTATTTGTTAATTTTAAAGCACATTTTCTTATTTTAAAACATGTAATAAAAATGGGGAGTCAGAGGGTGGAATAGATTAATAGCATTTTAATGAGAAAATTTGATTTGCGATAAGAGTAATTTGAGCTAAGAGCTCAGACACAGATGCAGTAAACTCTTAATTCACTGTATTTAACATGACACCATTCAGTTACTTTCTTCCTTGGGATCTACTTGTTTAAATTGCAGTGGCATTATTTAATACAGGTTGAGTCCCCTTACTTGCAATTCCAAAATACTCCAGTATCCAGAATTGTCCCCATGGGTAGCTGAGATCATGGCATCTTTGTTTTCTGATGGTTCAGTATATGCAAACTTTTGATTCATTTGCAAATGTATTAAAACATTATAAAAGATTGCCTTCAGGCAAGGTCTATAAGTTGTATATGAAATTAATATAATGTTTACACTTGGATTCCACTTCCAAGATATCTCATTATGTGCATATGTGCAAACATAGGTTTACCAAAATTCAAAACCCATCTGTTCTCAAGTATTTTGGATAAGGGATTCTCAGCCTGTACCTCCATTTCTCCATAGCGCCTCTTTGTATTTTATAGAACAGTGATTCTACAAGATTTAATCTATTCTAAGGAAGATGAATCAGAATTTTATATTAGATATCTTGGCCACAGGCACTAAAATGAAGAATACCCAATACTGGAGAAACATACATTTTAGCTGTCAAACTTCGGCTAAAACATTCTGGGCTGTCATCCAGAGTCCTTTGTGTAACACTGTGGACGGCATGCGTCACACTAGTGCTTGGCAAACAGTTAAGTGGCACAGTTGCCTTGGACAATACTGATCACCTATGTTCAGTTTGTTAATTTTGAGTTGGTGCTGAGATGTGGAATGTGTGACATCCCAAATGACTCTGGATTGTAGACCCCATCATCCTTCATATTGTCCATGTAGAGTAGAACTGGTGAATGTTGCAATCTAACAGCATCTGGGACGCTCTACCTATTTCTGATTTAGTCGCTCTGTCTCTGACAGATGGTCAACATCAGTAAAGGTGACCCACATGTGGCATTTCGATGTATATAGACACATTCAGTAGTAGACATTATCTTGTAAATGTAATAAATAAGGACATAATATTTTCTGTTTACATCTTTCTTGGTGCAGAGAAGGACTGGCTTTGTAACAGGTTGATGAATTTTAAACAATTACTTTCTTAATAATTAATCTTAATTAATAAGCATAACTCTATTTCTTACTGTAGTTGAATAATGTCTTCTTGGATATTAACTTATACAGTGAAGAAATATATGTACTTGGGTGATGTGCATGCTAAATATAGAAAGGATGTGACAGCACGATAGAGTTTCCTAGCTACTGCGTGTGTTGAATTTCTATTGAAATCAATGATATAGACAATCCTGTTTTTACCCTGATATCTTATTGTAATCAACTGAGTAACTTAGTGTATTTCTAAACAGCCCAGTTAAGTTCATTGAGTAACTTCCTGGACATGTATAACTGTTGTGCTGTGAAATTCTCATTACATTGACCACAGTTTTCAGCACCATAGACTGCTTTTTAGCCTGGTAATTTGAGTCTTTGATCTCCCTTTTGTCCTGTGAATAAGAAACACATATCCTTTGTTTCGTTGGGTTAACAAGTATCAGCCTTCTCGGGCACATGAATAAAGAGACAAAGAAATATTTAATAATCTTTCAATTTATTTCTCAATTAACTTTCTTACTGTTATCGTTTTATCTTTGTGATTATGTATAGGCTAGTAATCCACCAAAGCTATTCGTAATAGGATTTATAAACTGCAATGCACAGCATGTTAAAGAGGCTTGCCTACAAAGAGAAGCCAGCTGATGTCAAAACGAGAATATTATAGACATGGATTTCATAGGATGGGAGACTAACATGTTAAATGTCTGACTCCTGAATTTTTCTGTTGTGCAGAACCACCGCGAGCTCCTTTTAAAGACTTCCATGATTGACCAGGTCATAAGGAAAAGGCATTTCTTGAATATCCTGATTTGCAGATAATTAGGACTTTGTATAAATTAGAGCCAGATCTTGAACCTGATAGAAAATAAGCAGCCAATGCCTTCAGCTAAAAATGTTATATATGACATTATTGTACAAGACAAAAACCAGGCATTCTGCACGACTGGCAGCCTCTATACCATACTTATTGACAGCCCCACATAAAGTACATTGCAGTGAGCTAACCTTGTCCTTATTTATTTCGTGTCAAAAGCATTGCATAAATAAGCATAAAACTGATAAAAATAGAAGGGGTACAAGCGGCTGAATAATTTTAGACCAAAAATGGGCAAGAGCAACCACATTGTCTGTAGCTTTAAACAATTCTTCCTCTGTGAATGAGGCACAGCATTGTGGGCAAGCATACAGATGTGGAGTTGTTTGTTCTGCTTCATAGTCGCACAGGGTGGAGGATTCTTCTAAGTAGTGCCATTTAACCAGGTTGTCTTTTGATCTGCCCACTCTTCTTCTGAGTCTGTTCAGGGACTTCCAAGTTGCCCATTCTTGGTTTGCCCTTGGAGGAAGACCCTTGTGGGGGGGGCGTCCAATTGGGATTTCCTGGTTTAGCTGCCCAGAGGGATACTCTTGCTTTTGCTGGGGGAACATTAAGAGGAGTGGTGGTTCACATGAAGCTTTTCCTTGATTTGAATCTACTGGGAGGAGGCTGACAACCATGCAGTGGCTTTCACCATGTTCAACCTTATTTCTCTCACAGTTGGCAGCAACTTCCCATCATGCATCAGGGGAGACAATGGCAGCTAGCTTATAGTGTCTATCAACAGGTGTAGGTTTGATTATTCTACATGTGTCGTTCAGTACTATATTCGCCAGCTTCGCATGGACAGAGTTGTGCCAAACCTTGTCCTGTATTACTGTGACCAAGAAATATATTTGTGTAACACAAGACTTGACAAAGTTCAGCTCTCCAACTTTTATTGGACTGCAATAAGTAGCAAATCACCTTTCAGTCTAAATACAGTTTGCTTTTCCAGCGCTACAATCAAGGCAGAAATAGCAGAGAAACCTCTGGTGCTGACTTGGATTTCTTGTGTTTTACCATTTCTATTCTGTTAGATGCTGCCTAGAACATTTCCCTGCTGCATTACATTGCTATGTTAATTGGATGCAGTCATTAATTTCAGTTTAATTCATACAAAATGTATAGTCTGTCCTTTTATTATTAAAAATAGGCTATGTTGAGCTAGATTTTATGATGGAAAGTTTGGAATCCAATGGACAGTACACATGTTGCTAAGAAGAGAAATATTGCTCAGTATTTGGAACAGAAATATCTTAGAAGAGATAACAACAACTGCAAGAACAACAACAACACTATATTTATATTCTGCCCTTCTCCCTGTGGGGACTCAGAGTGGATTACAGCATAAACAGATACCAGCAAACATTCAATGCCTTGTTACAATACGAGACTTGCAAGCACAAACAATGGCAGAGGCTTCTCCTTTCATTTCCGGCTTTGGAGGCACTGTTCATCTCTGGCTCTGGGGGAGGTGCTGTTCTCCATTTCTAAGCCAAGGACTATGTTTTGTTACCTCCTGGTTGTGTGACTAGAATGACTGCTTGGAGCATCTTATGCCTTTCCCACCGAAACGGTACCTATTTATCTACTCACATTTGCATGTGTTTGAACTGCTAGGTTGACAGGAGCTGGGCTAACAGTGGGAGCTCACCCCGTCCCATGAATTCTAACAGCTGACCTTCAGGTCATTAGTTCAGCAGCACAAGAGTATAACCCATTGCGTCACTGTAGCCCATTCTGATCGAGGTTTTGATCATGGTACCGTTTGCTGAAAAATTAAGAAACAATGCTGTGTCTTTTCCCCAAATGCTTATAAAAATATTGAGTACAATTCATTGCTGTTATTCAAATATATTTTATCAGACTATTTGATTCTATTTTAAGTACTATTAAGGAAGGCTTAATGTCTCCAGTAACTTTGTTTTTTCTTCTTTTTACAGAAACCATAGCCCATTAATGAGTTTTGGAGCCAGCTTTGTTAGTTTTTTGGTGAGTACAAAATACTCTTGGGATGAATTACATTTCACAAACAGCATGATACAACATACAAAACATTCTTTATTGGTAACGTCTCTGTTTATGAAATGATGCTTTAGATTTGCTTTCCCCCTACAAAATAGCTGTACATCCAACATCTCAAATCATAATATATGCTTCATGATTTACAGTTTAGGCCTATTGCACATGTCACAAATGTATCACTTCATGGGTTGAAATGGTGGGCATATTTTATATATTATGATAAAATGAGGAAGATACAGTGCTGGAGGAACTAGCTCAAAAATTACTGCCTCTGAACAAACAAATCTTGCAAAGAAGACCCTGTAATAGATTCATTTTAGGGTCACTGCAAGGCAAAAAAATTACTTTAAAGCACACAATCACAACAATCACCATCATCAACCTGACCATCATGTTGGTAGGGTAAAAGTTTAAAGGAGATAGACAATTATAGAGAAATGTTGTATCAGTTGCCATTTCCTGTAGTAGGATGAACAGTATGGTTATTGTCTCAGTGACCTTCTCGTAAGTCTCAAAAGGCAGCTGGTTAACTTGATCGACCTTGGTCTAATCTACGAAGACAAGTTCCATTGAAGGCAGTGGGGCTTAATGTCTTAATGTTAAAGGTTGGATTATAAAACCATGATTTCAGAGAATGCATTTAAACTTCGTCTTAGTTATCATAAAGCCTGTGGTCTTTTGAAGTAGCTCTGTATTGGGATAGTGGAATTGACTGTATTTGAAGAGAACGAACTCTTTTTGGGAGTGTGTGCGTTAAAGAGAGTTTGCATGGCTGTCAGAAATGCTTTAGCTCTACTGCATTGTAGAGTCAGACTCTTTGGGGTCCCATTCAGTGCCTCTGTTATTTTGTACGCAAATGTATTGTGTGGTTAGCAGGTTGTGGGTTCTGTTTTTATTTTGGACATGAGTTTAGAAGAAATCCACCCATAATTATGACCTAAAGATGATTTCGTTTGGGTACCCCTACTCTAGAACCTTGGCCAAAAAGTTGCTGCAGACTGGCCCATAATTATCCAAAATGGTGAGATCCAGGGAGGACATTTGAAATAATATTTTTGTGTCCACCTCCAGGCAAGCTGAACAAAGCTAGGAAGAGCAACGATCTAACCAATACATGGTGGTTTTCACATCACTAATGAATCCTGTCCATTTCCTTGGGGTTGCACAAATTGAAAAGTATCTATTGTCACTCAATAAGCAGGGACCAGAGTTGCATCCGCTGGATCTGTATCACTTTAATGCGACTTGAAATTGATACTGCCCATTTTAATCTGCAGCTATTGGATATTTTATATTGATTGGGGCTTTTGTATGCTTTTAATGTAAATTTATGTTAATTGTTATTGTTTTACAAATGTTTATGTATTTTACTGTATTCTGTTTGTTCTTGCAGCACTATTATGTGCTTTTGTAAGCTGCCCTTTTGGGAGATGGTGGCAGGATATAAATTATGTTGTTGTTGTTGTTGTTGCTAAATAAAAGTAATCAAATAGGATATATCCCTTCCTCTCTGGAATCAGAGTCTATAGCTCATGCCTTTTCCATAGATTAAAATGTGAGTGTGTCTTGAGAGCTATCTTTGCAAATGGGTGAGTTACAGACACTTTATGGTGATTGCATTACAGATAATTGAATTGTGGTTAGTTTTGTACTTACATACATGATAATGTGATAAAATATAACATATGGCTGGTTAATGTCAAAAAGATGGTTCATATAAAATAGCCACAAAGGGTCATGTCATAACAAATGGGATAGGGCTTTGAGGTGCTCAAATTACTTGTTCTGTGAATACAGTGAAAACAGTAAGATTTCTGTTGCATCCTAATCCAATGTGTAAGCATATGTGGTAGTCTGTCTTTCCTTTTGCGAAGTCTCACAAAATTTGAGCCATTTACAGAAATATATTCTGCTGATGAGTCTCAGTTGCAATTTGTATTTGTTGAAATGTTCTGCTTCTGTGTATCTTTGTAAACATTGAATTCTGCAAGTATTCTAGAATTGTAAACTAAGCATTCAAGGTAAAGTCTTAATGATGTGTGTTTTTTTCTGATTCTCCCTTCTTGCCTTTGGAAAATTTAATAAGATTTTATTCCCTCCAACATCACTTCTCTGAGTTGGATTTCTGAACCAGTGTAGCGTCTCAGCACAGCTTCATTGTACCCTGAACAACTTCTGCTTGGTTACTGCTCTAAATATAGTTGCAGCATTTTGCATGCTTTTGTCATTGAAAACTTACGTTGGGAAAAGCAGTGGAAATGTTTCTGTGTGACAGATGAAATTATTGAAAGGCAGAGGGGATTCTGTCCATGCGATAGTTTGACTCTGAGATATTTAAATTAATATGGGGAGATAGATATGTACGAAAATATTGGGGAATCTGTACAGATACAGCTATGGTCTGTAATATGAGATTTTCCTGCTTCTGGGCAGTGGGTTGGACTGGATAGCTCCCAAGGTCTCTTCCAATTCTGTGATTTTATGATTCTATGAATAGTAAATGGGTGCAGTTTTACTTAATTCTCTTTTTAACCTAGTAAAATATGAAAGCATTTTCAATTTGGTATACAAGGTATCCAGTTATGTTTGGAGAAACAGAGATAGGTAATTGAATAATATTTTCTGTTTTCTTGACACTGGCATTTCTCATGTTTATGAAATTAACAGACAGCTACTCTTATGTTTATATTTTCTGAGTTGTACTGTAAAACAGCTTGATTTGTTTTATTATTGGATGTGTTAAAAGACGGTAAAGTCCAGAAAGGTGTTAGTTTTTAGATAACACATGTTCTCTGTTGAAGGTCATAATTCAGGGTTGGCTGAAATTCAGAATGCTAAAATAATTACACATAGGCAATCAGAACAGAAAGCTAAATATTAATATTCTGTGTATGGACTTGCCAAGCTATTGCAAGTTCATACTCAGTCATGGGTTTTTTTTTGGTCTTCAGATGCTATGAGAAATCTTAATGATATAAAGTAAGGGATTTTGATTCATTTGATTTCTCAAATGAATAATATATTATTCAGCAATATTTAGACTGTAAATACAGCATGACACCTATATTTGTGGGGGAAACATTCCAGGACTTTGTATGAAAAAACAAAACTACAGGTAATACAGAACCTTTTTGAACGACAATCGGTCAGGAGAAACATGTCAGACACTTGTCCTGGAGGATATCTTTTCAGCATCATTAGGTCCTCCATCATAGATATAGTCAGCTTTTGGTGGAAGTATACCATAGAATTAGCTGGAGGACTAAAAAAATTTAAAATGTGAATAAGTGAAACTGCGGGTACTGATACAGGGTCATATTGTATAAGCCAGCAGTTCTCAAAGTGTACTCCGTGGAGTCCTTGGAGCTCTGCAAAGCATCCTGAGGGGCTCCGTGGTTCCCCCCTTCCTCTCTAGCTTTCCCTTCTCTTTCCTGCTCCTCTCCCTCCCCACTCCTCCTTCACTGCCAAAAGCCTTTTCCCTCACRCCCCTTGTCACCAAAAGCCTTTCCCCCTCAGCCCCTTTGTCCCCCAAAACCCATTTGCCCACAAAAGCCATTTCCCCCTCCCTCCCTTGCCACCCAGATCCCTTTCCCCTCACCTTTCTTCCAAGCCGCTATTTCCTTCCCACCGCTCAGGGGATGCTTTAATTGTMCTTTTCCTGCATGGCAGAAGGGTYTTGAACTGGCTAACCCCTGGGGTTTCTGTTGTTGTTGGGTTGTTGTAGGTTTTTTAGGCTATATGGCCATGTTCTAGAGGCATTCTCTCCTGACGTTTCGCCTGCATCTATGGCAAGCATTCTCAGAGGTTGTGAGGTCTGTTGGAACTAGGAAAATTGGGTTTATATATCTGTGGAATYTCCAGGGTGTGAGAAAGAATTCTTGTCTGTTGGAAGTAGGTGTGAATATTTCAATTGGCCACCTTGATTAGCATTTAATGGCCTAGCAGTTTTCAAAGTTGGCTTCTTACTGCCTGGGGGAATCCTTTGTTGAGAGGTGATTAGCTATCCCTGATGGTTTCTTGTCTGGAGTTCCCCTGTTTTGAATGTTGTTCTTTATTTACTGTTATGATTTTAGAGTTTTTTTAAATATTGGGAACCAGATTTTGTTCATTTTCATGGTTTCCTCCATTCTGTTGAAATTGTCCACATGCTTGTGTATTTCAATGGCTTCTCTGTGTAGTCTGACATGGTGGTTGTGAGAGTGGTCCAGCATTTCTGTGTTCTCAAATAATATGCTGTGTCCAGGTTGGTTCATCAGGTGCTCTGCTATGGCTGACTTCTCTGGTTGAAGTAGTCTGCAGTGCCTTTCATGTTCCTTGATTCGTGTTTGGGCATGGCTGTGTTTGGTGGTCCCTATGTAGACTTGTCCACAGCTGCATGGTATACGGTAGACAGTAGACTCCTTCAGAAGTGAGAGGGTCCCTCTTGTCCTTTGCTGAACGTAGCATTTGTTGGATTTTGTTGGGTCTGTAGATAGTTTGTATGTTGTGTTTCCTCATCAGCTTCCCTATGCGGTCAGTGGTTCCCTTGATGTATGGCAAGAACACTTTTCCTCTGGGTGGATCTTTGTCTTCTTCTCGGTCTTGCAGCTCTTCTGATGTCTGAGGTGGAGTATCCATTGGCCTGTAAAGTTCAATTCATCTTGGAGGAGGTGGGGTTCGCAGATTCTTTTTGCACGGACTGCCAAGGCTTTAATGGTGCTTCTTTTTTGACTTTTTGTTGTTGTTGTTGTTATTATTATTACAAAGCCTGGTTGGCCATCTGTTTGGGGTGCTTTGATTGTGTTTTTCCTGTATAGCAGAAGGGAGATGAATTGGATGGCCTCTGGGGTTTCTGCTATTATTATTATTATTATTATTATTATTATTATTATTATTATTATTATTATTATTATTATATAAACATTTCTTGGGGCTCCACGAGAAACTTTTGCTGCAAAAATGGCTTCGCAGCTAAAAAGGGTTGAGAACTCCTGGTCTAAGTATTCCAGATGTAGGATTATGGAGCAGTGTTCACTATGATCTTGGCAATTCCATTCAGTGTGTAATGATCAGTAGAAAGACTTCAGGTAATTGTATGCTGCTGTTCCACTCGGAGGCCTTTCTCCTACTGCCCTTCTGCACTACTGCCTTGCTCACTGCACAGCCATAAATATTGTATGCCTTAACTCCCAAGTAGACCATTTTGCCCATGGCTTTTAAATGCAGATCTCTCATGTGGGATGGCTATTTCTTAAATACTGAGCTTATTTCAAGTTATAATGCAGTTATATAACATCCTGAGTTCTGGAAAGCAGGTTTAGATTGGCCTGTCACTTTACAATTCAGTAAATATTGCTTTTTATATTTCTACAGAATGCCATGATGACCTTTGAAGAAGAAAAAATGCAGTTGGCATGCGATGACTTGAAAGCAACGGAGAAACTGTGCGAGAGTGAAGAAGCAGGCGTTATAGAAACGATAAAAAATAAAATTAAGAAGAATGTAAGTCCATCACTCATGTATGAATGAATATGTCCTATATCATTATGTCAGTTGTTTTCCTAGCTGTTTTTCCTGTGACCTTTTAGCACATACTAGTGTGATGTTCTCAAAATCAATTTTGCTGCATTTTTTAAAAGTCCTGTTGTCTTTCCAGTGATCTTTCCCAAACAGTCTTAATCTTGCAATAATCCTGCACCTTAAGGTAAGAGAAAGATTATTCAAAGATCACCTAGCAACCCTAAGAGCTGAATTGTATCTTGAAATCTGGTCCAAGTACCGTGCAGTCTTATCATGGCTCATCGACTGTCTATGAGACTCCCATTTGCCTTTGAAGCTTGGCTACTCTTCCCAAACAGTCACCAAAATGCAAGCTACAAATTATAGTATTGTACTTAATGATTTCAATTAGTATTCTGGAGATTTAGAAAGGAAAATATGGTAATGTGTTTCTGATTCGCTTATCATCACCACTATATACAAGAAGTTGGGATATTCCCCCTGATCAGTTGAGGTGATTAATTTTGTCCTCTAATCTAGTTGAAATATTCTGTTGATGCTGTTTAACTTTGCTAGTTCAATGGAACTAGTGCAGTCTGCTGCATCATGCATAAATAATTTAAGCTTTGGCTCCCTTTGAGAGCATCCTGCATTATTAATGCTGAGTGTATAAAGTCTGGGCAATGTGTTTGGTTTCACTATTCCATGTATTTTCTAGTGGGAATATGAGGAATAGGTCTTTCTTTTCTCTGCTCAGTATGCAGGTTTGCTGTAGTGGAGTGCAATTTTAAATAACCTTCACATCTCAGAGGATCATGTTTTTGCAGCAGACAGAAATATCCTCTGTCAATTGAAGAAAGAAGTTTTGATATTCTCTGTAATGTTTTGCATTGTTATAAAATGTGCATGGATGTGGTACCTAAGCTAATCCATTCTTTTCGCTGGGAAATCGCTGGATCCACCCCACTGTATTCTCCTCCTCCTCCTCCTCCTCCTCCTCCTCCTCCTCCTCCTCCTCATCCTCCTCATCCTCCTTATTCTTATTATGTTTATTATGTTTATTTCTACCCTGTTTCTCTCTCCACAAGGAGACTCAAAGCAGCTCCCTTTCTGGTCCATACCAGCAGACCTTTCACTTTTTGTCCTCGCACTGGGCTTGTCTCTCATCCCTGGGATTTCCCTGCTCAGAACTGAAGAAAGACAACCTGTGCTGTGCGGGGAAACCCTGCGGATATCTCTGATCAGAGATCAGAGAGTATTGAAAGGCATTTACATTTTAATGCCTCTACATTTTAAGGAGCCCCCAGTAGCACAGCGGGTTAAACCGCTGAGCTGCTGAACTTGCTGACTGAAAGGTCAGCAGTTCGAATCTGGGGAGCGGGATGAGCTTCTGGTTTTAGCCCCACCTTCTGCCAACTTAGCAGTTTGAAAACATGCAAATGTGAGTAGATGAATACAAATTCAATTATTTTCTTTTTTAAATCTTAGTTTGGGGTCTTTGTGCAGTGCCCACATAGAGGTCTGTTAGCCAAACTTATCCAGCTAATTTTGGCATGTGTCCATCTTTCATGAGTTATAATCAAGGATCTATGGCTCCTACTTGAGTTTATTAGAGCCTTGGTTGGAATGAGAACAGGCTTTTAATTGTGTATTCATTCCCATTTTATATTAACATTTCTTCCTGTTCATGTCTTCTGAGGCTGGCCAGGACCACTGCATTGCCTACTTTAGAAGAATTTATGGTTCATGGCATTATTTCTTCCCTTCTTTCATGGTTCTCAAACAGGTTGATGGCCGAAAGGCTGCCCCATCCATGATTGATCGATTGCAGAGGCAGATCATTGTAGCGGACTGTCAGGTTTACCTTGCTGTCCTCTGCTTTGTAAAACAAGAATTGTCAGGTGAGTTATGACCTCCAGTCATGATGAAACTGTATTTCTGCATGATGTTTGTTACTCAACTTTCTCTTATGTGGGAAAGTACAAAATCTTGATGTCCAAGTTGACTTAATGATTAATGGCTTACAGTTTTTCTTTCTCTATATTCCTGAGTCAACTTTCTAAAAGAAAAGCAACACTCTTTCCTGTAGATACTGTTGTGTGCATGTATTGATGATTTTGATGCATTTTTGGAACATTGCATTCTCTTGTTAGTGTATTGTTTCTGTTGACATGGTAGGAATATAAATTTTTAGTATTAATCAGTTGGTCTGAACTTATTGTTACTTTATATGGTAGGAATAGTTTAAACACATCTCAATAATATCAGTTTGCAAGAGCTTCAGTAAATGTATGCACCTTTAAGGTACCACAAAATGAGCCCCCTGTAGTGCAGTGAGTTAAACTCTTGTGCCGGCAGGACTGCTGAATGAAAGGTTGGTGGTTCAAATCCGGGGAGCAGGGTAAGCTCCCTTCTCTCAGCTCCAGCTTTTCATGTGGGGATGTGAGAGACGCCTCCCACAGGATGGTAAAACATCCGGGTGTCCCCTGGGCAATGTCCTTGTAAGTGGCCAATTCTCTCACACCAACCAGAAGCGACTTGCAGTTTCTAAAGTTGCTCCTGACACACACACACAAAACACACACACACACACACAAAAGCGTTTTTCTATTGATAATATTTCTGAGTATTTAGCTCAAAAAATAATATACTTATAAAGGGTTGTTTAAAAATGTATCTCACACCCTTGGTTTCAGTTGTGGATGTACAGCCTGTGTCTTTATATGTGTGCACATGCTCAGCCCTTCCTTCCATGCTTACTGCAGCACTACTGAACAGAATTGTATAAACACTTCCCTTGTGGTAAACCACATAAGTACGAAACAAGCGATGCAGCAGAAAGTGCATAAGCTGCAGTCTTGCAGTAACGTTAAGCTCCTAATAAAGCTGAATCATGACTGTTGGCTTCAATCTTATTTTAATACGCAGCTTTATTTCCCCAAAGTTGGTAACTCTCTCATCCCAGCCAATGTTTTCAAACACTCCATATGTTTCATAGTATGTGGGGCAGCATAGTTGAGTAGTTTAACAAATGTGATCAGTTAGGGTAATAGCCTTGCACTCAGTGGCCTCAATCCTGTTATTAATCCTATCTAAAGTAGACCCATTGCATCAGTGGAAATATATGTTGACTCATCATCCAGCAATTGATTTATTGGGTTCATCTAATTAGGATTAACCAGTAGTACTTAGACCTATGTATTCTTCCTTTTCTGGCTCTCTGTGTATGCACAACATTAGGTATGTTCCCCAGGAAGTCAGTGACAATCTCCTCTTTTTTGTGATACCATATACTTAGAAATTGCATAACTCCTTTTCTGTCTTGAGAATTGCATATTCATTTTAGGTGTGGATATAAATTGGAACATTCTTTTTACTTGGGAATTTGACTTGTCTTTCAGCGATAGCAAACAATTTCCTACTTTGTGTTTACAAACTGCCATAGTTCTGAGATCATTACACTGTAGTTTCTTCATTTTGAAAAATCTTTTCTCTTTGACTGAATTCTTCATTTTTTTTTCTTTAGCATATATAAAAGGTGGGTGGATCCTTAGAAAAGCTTGGAAAATCTACAATAAGTGCTATACAGATATTAATACACTTCAGGAATTATATCAAAAGAAGATAACTCGAGATTCCTTGACTTCTGATGCTGCAAACGATAATCATATTACTGCAGAAGGTGTAACGGAGGATTCGCTAAACAGACTGAAAGGTGCTGTTAGCTTTGGATATGGACTTTTCCATCTTTGCATATCCATGGTGCCCCCAAACCTGCTCAAAATCATCAACCTGCTGGGTTTTCCTGGAGACCGACTGCAGGGGCTTTCTTCCCTGGTGTATGCAAGTGAAAGTAAGGACATGAAGGCCCCTTTAGCTACGTGAGTAGCTATATTGCAATGCTTTGGTAATAACTTAGTACTGAAAGTAAGTAAACTGCAAGCCAACGTGAATTAAGAAGCACTGTTTTCTTCCTTAGTTGAAACATCAGCAGGTAAAACTAAGAGCAAATGATTTCTTGATGTGCCATAGTTTATAAAACTGGAGGTTGTCATAGGAGGCCTTTAGGTCAGTGGGGGCTTGACGTATACTTAGATCTTATTGGAAACGAATTCTGGCATTCAGATATTCATGATTTTGGTAATTCTTTGGTAATCTGAGATTGGTTTTTTTGCTTTTTAGACATTTCTAACTGAAGCTGACACACACACACACACACATATGTGTGTATACCATATATATGTGTGTACACCAAAAGTAAAATACTGTTCCCAAAATATAGATTCTTTGAGTGAAAGCACAGTATGATCAATATGTAGAACTTTTGCATTTTGCTTGGCTTCTCTCATCATTTCTGTTGAGTAGAGTATTTATAATTACTAAATACAAATATAGTCCCCTTGTCTTTCAGTAAAATTTCAACTTCAAACTCTACTTAATGGAGTCTCTTCCTCCAAAAGTATGGCTTGGGGTGAAATATTTTGACTGCAAACTATGCTCCATTTTTGCTATTGAAAAAAACCTGTTGAGAATTGAAGACTTATCCCATATACTTTGACAACTTGCATACTACTTGTCCTGGTATCAGAAATCCATCCTAAATAATTGAAGTAGATTTCTGTGTTCTTCCATTCCTTTATACAAATGTTATTCACCTTACTTCTCTCTTAGCTAATGTTCGGATTTTATGGCCCAATGCTTAATACTTTTTGCACCTCACTTCTGTAAAGGAGAAGGTTGTAAGTGCAAGGGAGTTGATGTTGAAAGGTTCCACATCAGTCTCCATACTGAAGGAAGGGGGAAGAAAGTCAAAGCCAGAAGAGGACCACATTTTTGAAAGTGCTTTTGTCTTTTTAGCCAAAGACCTTCTTGAGAAAATAGAGAATTTCTTTAGTAGAGATAAGATATTTCAAATAGTTAACAATAGGGAAAATTACAGCTTCAAGTTTTGAAAAACAATACACTCCTCTAGGATATATCTATTATACGAGGGTGGGTCAAAACGTTTTGCCTCGTAAAAATGTTATAAATGAACATATAACAGCAGAACTTGCTACAGATCATAGCCTGAACTATCCTCTACACAAAACTACCATGCAACATAGTCATTTGCATTTGCACCATTGTTTAACCCAGGCATCAAAACCATTTTGGAAAAATTCAGGGTTTTGCTTCGTGACTCATTATTTTAAAGCTGTTTTAAAGCTGTTTTTAAATACTTGTAGTAGGATGGTGGGGGTAATGGTTTGGATTTTGCATTGTGTGGCCAGAAGCAGTGGAAAATACCTTAAACACCTCTGGTAGCATGCAGAATCCTTTCCTGCCTGTGTGAGATTCTGTAGGATTGTAATATTAAGGGTGTTAAGAAAGTATTTTAAAAATTCAAATATCTCTTCTCAATGTGATTAAGATATTAATCTTGATACTAGTCTGACATGGAAGAGAGGATTGGATCTCTCAACATGTGTCCATCTTGCTGAATTATAGAATGAGCTGATGTTATTAACTTTGCCTATGTTATTATCTGACGCCATGATCTCTGTGTATGTCTATGTGTATGTCCTTTCAGACTAGCCTTGCTCTGGTACCACACAGTGGTGCGTCCCTTTTTCGCTTTGGATGGCAGTGATACCAAAGCAGGATTGCAAGAGGCAAAAGAGATCCTTCAGAGAAAAGAAGCTGCTTATCCAAACTCATCTCTCTTTATGTTCTTTAAGGGAAGGATACAGCGTTTAGAGGTACTGTGACTTTCTTTCTCGTGTTTCTGTACTTTCTGTCGAATCAAAATTATTTCAAAAGCTTGGTGACAATTTTAAAGAAAAAGATGTATTAAAAAAAAACAGTACACCTAACTATTCAGGTGGTGAAACATGAGATGGGGCTTTTTCTCTTAAAAAAATAAGCACTCATCGATGTTAATAATCTGCAGGCAATTTTGGATTTCCAAATAGAGCATTCCCTTTGGCACTGTTTGATTACTGTTCTGTTGGTTATGCTAATCCAGTGCTTTCCTGCCTCCTGTTGGGAGAAAATATGAAGTGCTCTAAAATTGTAAAGGGCTAGCAAGAAGTCAGCATGGTTTGAGCATTAGATTGCTATTCTGGGGACCAGGGTTTGAATTCCTGCTTGGCCATGGAAACCCATTGGGCGAACGTGGGCAAGCCACACTTTCTCAGCCTCAGCAGAAGGCAAAGGCAAACCCTCTCTGAAAAAAATCAAGAAAACCTCATAAGTCAGAAATGCACTTAACACCAGCAAAAATAAAACAACACCCTTGAGAGTCAATTTGTTGCTGCTAATGGCATCAAGAGATAAAACCTGTATAATTTTGCACTTAAATGATCAGCTGTACCACTTTACTATTGATTAACAGGTGTAGCTGATCATTTTATACAGCACAATTATAATATTTGATGTTTGTTAGGTATTGAAAGTAGAATGCTGACATACCAAATTTGCAGTGGTGAAGGGGGTTCATTAAGAAGATTAGGGACAATTTGGTGTGTATTTTTGTGAGTTAAAATCTAGGTATCTTGTGTAACTATTTTCTGCTAGTCACCATAATGTTTGTACTTTCTTTTATAGTATTTTGGATTGATTAATTTAATTCTGGAGGATGTGAGAAAGATAAATATTGAATCGATAGTTTTAAAATCCTACGGCAAAATCCAATATTTGCTTTTTGCGATTGACACAATGCACTTCAGTGAACTCAGAGAGGGGAAGTGCTTCTCTTCACATCATGTTCTCTACAAGTGTCACTTAAACGTACCATATTTAATTGCATAATTGTCAACATTACGTAATAGTCGCATCACCATTTTGGGGGTCTCGGTTTTGGTATTTCTGTTTTCTTTGCCTTATAGTGATTTACTGATCCATCCTCTCACCTGTCTGCTCACCTGCTCAAAGACCCACCCACCATCTTCCCTCCCTCACTCACTCAGCTGCCCACTCTCTCACTGAGTTATCCATCCTTTCGCTGACCATCCACTTTCAAAAATGCCACTTGAAGCAACATTCTTGGAAGGTGGTGGTCAGTGAATGGATGGGCAATCGAGTGAGTGGGTGGGAGGGAAAGAGGGTCTTTGGGCGGGTGGGCAATGGGGTCTTGGACACCCTTGGATATGTTCTCAAGTTGTTTTCAACGTTATTTTATTAAAATATTACTGTTTTAAAACAAAAAAATTTCCTCGCATAATAGTCGCACTACACTTCTTTTGAAAAAGGGAAAAGAAGTGTGACTATCATGTGATGATGACATACATTACTTTGGAGAACTTGGAAAGCCTTTGGAGCTGGTTTTCAGGCTGCTCAGAGGACTAATGTAGAAGGGAAAGCAGAAGGATTTAACCCTGTGACTTTCAGTCCACAAAATGCATAAGAGTCTGAGAAAAATGTGAAGCATCCTTGTCCTTCTGGCTATGCTGTTTAACTGCTCATATGTCAGGAGGGCTTGAAACTGGATGACTATTTAGAGACAAAATGGTATCTTGGTCCTTTCAACTTAAGAGTGATATGAGCTAATTTTGCTAAAACAAACTCCAAGTTTATGTGCTGTGGGATTTCATGCTGAAAGATTGACCTTGGAATCTTTTGTTGCAAAGTGTCACATATTTATCTCTGTTGATATTCTTTGCTACTTAAAATTGGCTACACCAAGGGTAACCAACTCAAGTACTTCAGATTTTTTTTTAAAGTTCAGATTGCACAGCTCCCCATCATTAGCTAAACAGAATAGTACTACTGGGTGCTTTAGAGGGGGGAAATCTATAGGGTTGTAATTGCCTCTATTTTAAAGTTTATCACCGACTGTAATTCATAGAAAATGAAGGAGAAGTAGTGAAAAATACCTGGGATTTTTCTTCATCACTTTTGTGAAGCTGGTTCCTTGCAGATGTGTACAGGGATTCTGACAGTCCAGCACATCTGGAGGACAGAAAGTTGGCAAAAGCTGCTATAGAGCTACATAAATCTAGTATGACCTTCTTTGATATGGTTCATTCTGCCTTTAAAGAAAACAAAACACACTATCACATTAATCTTTTCTGGACAGTTTTCATTCTTAAGTAAATGGCACTTCTCCGGGCAGTTTCCCCCCCCAGAGAACTATGGCACTGTGTTACATGGACATCATAGTTGTTATAATTACTCTTCCTCTCTTTTATATTTATCAAGCTTTTCTGATAAATTTGTATTTTATTTGCATTCACATTTTGATGCTAGGCTTGTTTTTTTTCTCTGTAGTGTCAGATCAACAGTGCCTTGACATCCTTTCATACTGCTTTGGAACTTGCAACTGATCAGAGAGAGATTCAGCATGTCTGCCTATATGAAATTGGTATATAATAATACTAATAACTTTTCTTTCTGTTCCATTTAACCATTGTTACTAATACCGGAAGAGAAAATATTGAGTGTGTACCACACATTATATTCATATATCCTTATCCATTGAAAACACTACATTTTCCTTATATGGAATAACTTCATGAGTTTTATCTGATGATAAAAATATATATTAACTTTATTGTGTTCATTTCCTATTGGTGCCTAAAGATTTTTTTGAAATATGTCCTCATTTCCCCCACTAATCCACCTACTTCAACTTTTAATGTCATGAAACTAAGCTTGTAGCTGTGAGATAAAAATCTATCTATAGATCTATTCATAGATGTATAGATCAAAATAATATTCTCTGAAATAAATAAAGAATAGCACTCAGAATACGGGAATTCCAGAAAGAAAAAAATCAAGGCCAGCAAACATCTCCCAACAAAGGCTTCCCCCAGACAGGGAGCAGCCAGTCTTTGAAGCTGCAAGGCCATTCAATACTGATCAACGTGGCCAATTGCAACATTCACACCTGTCTCAAACAGACAAGAGTTCTTTCTCCCACCCTCGACATTCCACAGATATATAAACCCCACTTGCCTAGTTTTCAACAGACCTCACATCCTCTGAGGATGCCTGCCATAGATGCAGGTGAAATGGGACATGCTTTAGCACAGATAGATCTTATCAATCAAAAGGTTGCCAGTTTGAAGCTCAGGTAGGAGTGAGCATCCGATCTTCAGCCCAGCTTACTGTCCACCTAAGCAATTTTCCCCTGGTGGCACTGTGGGTAAAAGCGCTGAGCTGCTGAACTTGCTAACCAAAAGGTTTCATGTTCAAATCCAGGAGCAGCGTGAGTTCCCGCTGTTAGCCCCAGCTTCTGCCAAGTTAGCAGTTTTAAAACATTCATATGTGAGTAGATCACTAGGTACCACTTCGGCGGGAAGGTAATGGCGCTCCATGCAGTTATGCTGGCTACATGACCTTGGAGGTGTCTATGGACAACGCCGGCTCTTCGGCTTAGAAATGGAGATGAGCACCAACCCCCAGAGCCAGACACGAGTGGACTTAATGTCAGGGGAAAACCAAAGGAGTTCAACAACAGCTATGAGCTGAGAGTAGAGAAGTTAGGCACCGTTTAAGCAGGGAGGTGTTTTATGGCACCATAAAGGGAATACCAGAAAAATGGCTATGATTGGAGGAAGTCTGTGAACAAGACTCTTCGTCATAGAGGATAGAGCAACAGCACTCCCTGTGGCTGGAGTCGAGCACAACCTCCAGGACACTGAAGTTGGGGGAAAAAAAATCTCTATCTGTTGTCTGTCCTGTCTATTTAATGGCATTGAATGTTTGCCGTATATGTGTTCTGTGATCCGCTCTGAGTCCTATTTGGGGTGAGAAGGGCGGAATATAAATGCAGTAGATAAATAATAATAAACATCAGGAGATAATGCTTCTGGAACATGGCCATACAGCCCGGAAAACTCACAGCACCCAGTGATTCTGGCCATCAAAGCCTTCGACAACACAATATTCTCTGAATTAGATTCAGTTACTCTTAGAACAAGCATACTAAATTCAATGGAACTTAACATATGTCAGAACAAAATTAAGTCCTATTGATTTCACTGTCTCTATTCAGAGTATGATAAGTTTGAATCCAACTTCCTCCATAAAATCAAAAACATAATAAGATCTATGCTAGATCAGATAACATGTTATCTAATCCAATGTTCATATAGTTGTCGGCCAGTTGCCTTTGGTGTACTTGCTAGTGGGAAATGAGTGCAATTGTACTCTAAAATCCTTCACCAATGGATCTATAGTGGCAAACTTATATAGGAAGTGATAAATAGTCAATCTACCTGTTAACCATGCTTTATAAACATAATTTCATGGGTATCTGTGGTTACTAACCACATAACTGCATGCATAATATAGACAAGTCAGTAAACGTTACATTGAGATCCCCCCCCCCTCCATTCAACTTTGGAAAGCATTTTTATCAAAAGAAGTTTATAGTTTCTCACAGTGCATGAACTGTGTATAGTGCAATATCATTTAGACGAGTGTGTGTGTGTGTGTGTGTAAAAATATAGTATTTCCCAGGTTTTAGGAAGTTATTCAGGTATTAAAAATGCAGTTATTCTGTCCACAATTCTATCCCTTTTTGAAACCAACAAATCTAACCCATTATTGAAATTGGCTGTGCCATTTTACACTGAATGTGCATTTGAGTACTGAATGTTCAGGATGTATTCACTTGGAGATGCAATCTCCTCCAAGTGCTTGTACCCATCTTTGTTATACAGAAACTGTACTAATGCAACATATAATCCTTTCAATTTTGTGTTTAAAAATGTTTTGCTTCTTCTCATAGGATGGTGCAGCATGATTGAAATGAATTTCAAGGATGCCTTTGAATCCTTCGAGCGTCTGAAAAATGAATCAAGATGGTCTCAGTGCTACTATGCCTATTTAACAGCAGGGAAGTATTATTGTGTGATTAGGATGTTCATACGTGTGACTGAATCAATGCTTGAATGCACTGATTGGTGTACGGTAGTAGTAAATTTCATCAACAAAATTTTCTATAGATTAACTAATCACAACAGGAATGTAACAATGGCAAATTATTATTATGTGTGTACCCTTATTTACTGCTAATTTGATCAAAATTATGAGTACTATTTCATCCACATAATGCCCTGTGTCACTTTTGAATATATGTGTGTGTGTGTTGCTTAAATCTTTACAAAAAAAATATACAAAAATACAAAAGCCTTACAAAAAAATACAAAGTACTTAAATGCAGGGCTTACAGTCTGATCGGCATTGTACCGAAATGGTGAGACAAGAAAGAAAAGTAAGCAAATGTTCATACTACATTTTAATAAACTTATTTTGGAGTTTATTGGACACACAAAATGGTGACTGAAGATGTTAGGACCTCTAATAGAAGAAACATTTTGTTTTGTTTTATTGCAGTGTGTCAAGGTGCCACTGGTGACGTGAATGGTGCACAGAGTGTTTTCAAGGAAGTTCAGAAGCTCTTTAAAAGAAAAAACAATCAGATTGAGCAGTTTTCAGTCAAAAAGGTCTGCTTAACATGTCAAGTTGACTTAGTAGTGTGATAATGATAATGATCTATATCCATGCTTTTTGAACAACTGTTGCCAGGATAACACTTTTTCTGAGCCTGTAAAACATGTAGCCCAGCTGTTGGATAATATCTCAAATACTAATGGTTGGGATCTTAGAACCACTCATTTCGAGCAACAGGTTGTTTTGTCTGAGGAATCGAATGTAGCCGAGTGAAGGTTAAGGATCTCTCACAGCTAGCACACCAGAATTCTCAAAAATGGAATGTGCATTTTATCCCATAAGCTTTCCTAAATTGACAGCTGATTAGGTTTCTTTCCTTCTCTGCACATGGGAGGAGGTTGTACTGTCAGTGTCGTAGACTGTCACAAATGGGGACGTAATGAACTCTGGGCTAGTCTGGGCTAATGGGATGTTCACCTTGTTCAAATCCCTGCTGGTTTGCACTTGTTATGGTGGGAGGTATTTGAGGAGCCCTATTCTGTTAGATATTTTTGTCGTGTTTGCGGATGGTCCTTAGACTTCACCTGTAAACAAAAGGGCTTTGTATTGTCGAAGGCTTTCATAGCCGGAATCACTGGGTTGTTGTAGGTTTTTCCGGGCTATGTGGCCATGTTCAAAGGGATCCAGGTAGGTCCCATCAATTTTGTTATCTACCTGTTGTGCAGCTTGCCTAGACCTGTAACACTGCTGAAGATGCACTTAGACCTCCTGTTAGTTGAGCACCTTTCCTTTTTTTATGAAGAAACATCTCCATCTAATCCAGTGGTTCTCAACCTGTCGGTCCCTAGATGTTTTGGCCTACAACTCCCAGAAATCCTAGCCAGTTTACCAGCTGTTATGATTTCTGGGAGTTGAAGGCCAAAACTTCTAGGACTCAAAGGTTGAGTACCACTGATTTAATCCTTCACAGAAGTGTGCTGTATAAATAGGAGTTTGGTCCACATAGTGAGTGCAGTGTAAACATGCTCGTTTGACATTCTAGTGATTGCGTAAGGAATGTTGGTTTTATTAGAGACATGAGACATTTTGTGAACTCAGTATCTTGATTCATGCAGAGAAGTGTGTTTAATTCTAAATCCATATAGTTTCCTATCTGTGTGCAGAATAAGAAAGTTGTAGCCTCTCACATCTCAGATATGTGCATCCAAGGTTGAAAAACATTGTATCAGTATGTCATGTTGCAGATCTACAATCATGTCATGTTATTGATCTGTTGGCTTCACATGAATTTCCGCACAAGGAAGAAACTCTGTTGTCTGTGAATCAAATTTTACTAGTTAACATGGTTAGCTAAGTGCTACCTGCCTTAAAAGAGACCAGAAGTCTGGCAGACTGTGTGAATCCAGCTGTTATATCCATAGCTGAATGCATTAGTTGTAGAGAAGAGCAAAAATGAAGAGGAAAAAGAAATTGGTCTATATGATTTCTAATAATTTACAGTATCTGTCAGTTGAGGATTTGTGTGTGTGAATGCATGTCATAAGACTAAATTCTCAATTCCATATTATAATCCCATCATCCTAGTTACATAACAGTCACCTTCTAGTATTTAGGATGGAATATTCAGCCCTGATACTGAGCTATGGAGAATCAGAAGGGATGAAGGTGAAAAAGAAAATTGTTGTCACCTTTTTAGATTCCCCAAATGGCATTGAAAGATATTTGTTCCAAATTGGTACTATCATTGAATAGCAGGTCCCCAAACTCCTAATCTGTACCCTTCACCTGGATAGGAGTTTCAAAAGTATTCACTTTGCCCTGTTGTATTATTTGAAAACTTTAATTTATGTGACCACAATGAAAGCATCTTGTCCTTGGCTTTCATGGAGAGGAAAAAAAATAACACTTTGTGCTCTTTGCAGGCGGATCGATTTAGGAAGCAAAAACCAACCAAACAGCTCTGTATATTAGCATCCATTGAAGTATTGTATTTATGGAAAGCTCTTCCAAACTGTTCCTTCACCAACTTACAGCACATGAGTCAAGGTACAAAATGTGACTTTCTGTCTCTTTCTCTTTTGCACACGCTCCTTGTTTCTTTTCTCAGTCAACAAATTTTCTGTCATTAACATTTGTTCCACTCTAAAGACAGAAATTGGGTTACTCATCTAATGACTGGGAAACAAGAAATTCATGTCTTTAAAACAGTTGCTACTAGGAATTGGATAAATATTTCAAGCCAGATTGTGAAGTTTTAAGTACTTTCTGCCTCCACCTGTTCAGAAAGATTGTTGGTAATCCTGTTAGCCAAGTATAGAGTTGAGCCCATAGTCTCTTTTCAGATAATGGAATAGCTCTGCTTGTGTAATATCCATCTGCCTGATTTTGGAGCAGTCCTCCTTCCACCCCCCATGGCAGCTCATCCCTCTCAGTCTAGCTCTGTCTGTGTTGCATTTTCAGGAGATGGAGGGGTTGCTATGGGAAGGAAATGGGCAGGAAAGTTCAACCTAGATCATAGGTCTGATTCCAAACTTAATGTATATATTGTGCATTATGGTTTTGGCAACATGATTAGTTTACACTCTATACAAAATATGTGTGAATATAGGGACATTTTGCTTCTGTCTGTATGTTTGATGTCCATAGAACTGATAGAGGAAAGTGAGTGAGTAGATGGAGGAAATAGGATTAGAGCCAGCTAATCCTGCCCTGAAATCTTAAATGTATGTTGCAGCTCTACAGTAAGCTTTGCACTCTTTTTTTTGGACTTAATTTCTCCTCCCAAACAAGAAAATGTATTTTTTAACCATCACAGGGATCTCCTTTCTAAGATTTGTCACAAAACTATTCAAAAACCAAATGAGTAGTGCGCATACCTACTTGAAAACTCAATTTTCAAAAGGGCATTTCAAAATAGTCTTACGATGTATCTCCAGAGTGGTCACATTAAAATTTATGTGAGGATAGTGACCACATCATTGTGAAAGTATATGCTATTGTGCAGGGAGTTAATTTTTTAAGACTGGGTGAGATTATAAGGAAGTGAATGGTTTCTGAGAAACTCAGCCTAAACTGTTTTAAAAAATCAGCACCAAAACTGTAGATAAATTTCAGAAACACTTGCAGCAGTGCAAATTTTCTGCCCTATATGTATGTGTGTATATGTATGTATGTGTTCAATATTTTCTTCCTTGGTTACTGTGGATAAAACAGTGGCCCACCTGATGTTGTTGAGCTGTCGCTCCCATCAGCCTTAGCCAAGATAGCCAAGAGGTTTTTTTCCATGTCAGGAGCAACTTGAGAAACTGCAAGTTGCTTCTGGTGTGAGAGAATTGGACATCTGCAAGGAAGTTGCCCAGGGACGGCCCGGATGTTTTACCATCCTGTGGGAGACTTCTCTCATATTCCTGCATGAGAAGCTGGAGCAGACAAATGGGAGCTCATCCCACTTCCCAGATTCAAACTGCTGACCTTTCAGTCATGAGTCCTGCCGGCACAAGGGTTTAACCCATTGTGCCACTGGGGACTCTCTAGCCAAGAGTGAGAGGTGCCATGAGTTGTAGTTTAACACAACTCATGGCACAACTAGAGAGCACGTGGAGAGCTACAGTTGTCCATCCCTGCAATAAAATATTCGTATCACATACAACTAGTCTGTGTTGGTAACTTTTTCTTGCATTTCCTTTGTGCTTATGGATTCATTCTAAATCCCCATGTATTTTATTTTTACATAATTTTTAAATAAATCCTAATGTAAGTATTAATAAGATTTTGATATTTCTAATTTCAACTTGATTTCAACTTAATTTGTGTAAGCCCAGTTTATATCATGTAACTATATTTTGGGTTGGAACTACTATTTGCCTATAAGATTGTATCCTATGTGTGGTAAAGTCCGTTATTTGCTTCAAGCTGTAGTTTGAAGATTCTTGTATGTCAGACTTTTTTCTGTACAGAATTGATGATTGGGAGGGGATAAGATTTGCCCACTTTGTCCAGCTCTTGATTGAACTAGAGATAATTGGAAAGTGAAGGAAGCAGTGAATGGGGGAAAAAGCTTTCTTAGTAGCTTTCTTTTCTTAAATTGCCCAGTATCAGTTCAAAGCATCATAGTTCAAACATGGAAGATTACGGTATGGGGCTTAGGGAGGAGAAATAATGACTTATTTTTTAAAATGAACATTTCATCCTAGTCTTGCTTTTTGTGTCCTGATAAAGCTTGCCACGAAGTCGATGATTCTGCTGTTGTTGGTTTGAAGAATCTGCTGCTTGGTGCCATTCATAAATGCTTAGGAAATGCCGAAGATGCTGTTCAGGTACATTTTGTTATGCATCTAGTAAGAGCTGAAAGATAGAATATGTTAATATGTTCTGATGTTTCAGAGCAAGCTGCATGAATTAAAAAGGACATAGTTCAAGCTTTATTGATAGCATAGCCAATGCATATTCAAAACTGCAGAATTAAATAGCTTGAGGAATAGAGACTATTGAACTAATTATCTCCTGTCGGTAGAGCGAGACCATCTGACTGGACCTCAGAAGTGAAGAGGAAAGTACAGAGTGTTTGGTTGTTGTTTTTTTTTAAAAAAAAAATATCAGGGAATAATTAGGATGTTTTCACTTGCTGCTGTCACGTTTCTTTTCTAGTGTTTGGCTCTCTTTAACCAATGCGTCCGTATTGCTTTTCTCTATCTGATATATTTAAAATAATATGCTTTGGATATTATATTAGAAGCACAAACTAGTCTCCTCTTATTCTTTGTGGGTCATTCCTTGACCTCTTAGACTTCTGTATCTCACCAAAATAATTTTCTTTTATATTATTTTTATTCAAGAAAAACACAAAATAAAACACACAAGCATTTTACACATCTGAAACTACTTTGTCTATAGAGCTACATACTACACAGTACAATTAAACTACAACTAAACAGCTGTAAAAGAATGCCATCATACTTCTACTTAAAGCCAAACTCTACTAATGTATGAATCCCAGAGTTAATAAATGCCCTCATCTTTGTTGTGAATGAGTCCCAGTCTTTCTTAAAGTTAGTCAAGGATTTCTCCTTAATCAGCACAATCAATTTGTCAATTTCTGCTGTACCAACTTAATTTTCCAACCTGTTTCCATCTCTGTTCCATCTCAGTCCTTTAAAATCTGCAGCAGACAGCCGTGCCTGCCACATAGTTTTGCTCACTCCGGTATTTGAGTTTCCCAAGAGCACAGGGTTTTCTCTCTTAATTAAATTCTCAGTTACCCTCTCAAGATGCTTTTCTAGGTGAACACCACATTTGTATCTGTCTCTGTAAAGAAGATGTGGATGTGGACCTATGTGCTACCAAAACTGGGAAGAGTAGAGTAAGCTCCACTTTGCAGAAATTTAGGATGGATTAAGTGGCATACTTTATTCAAGATTTCTGCAATCTCTTCAAAAAATGTGTGGTGTACAGAAAAGCAAAAACAGGAAACCATGTGTTGCTCAGTTCTTTCTTCCCTGATAAATTGAGCACTGACTAAAGTGGTTGGGATTAGACTTGAACTCAGAATAAATTAAGATTTTGTTTTGGTAGGAACTGTACTGATAGATCTTTAGCTTCGCTTGCAAGAGTTCTCAGGTTTAAGCACTGTCATCTTAATTTTCAAGGATCTGGTAAAAAGTAACAGGAAACATCAAAGTATCCTTAACCTGATTTGTTTTCTTCTCAGTGTTTCTTTTTGTTTGCTACATTAACCAATTTGGAAAGCTGTTTGACAGTTAAACGATGTTACAATTGTAATGAATTCTTTTGGGTTGATGATAAAAAGTTTATTTTGTTCTTATAAATATTGCTGTGTTGATTGTATTTGTTTTCTTTTGCAGTTCTTTCAACAAGCCCTTAGAGATGACTTGTGCCGCCAAAACAACCTGTATATCCAGCCATATGCTTGCTATGAACTTGGCTGTCTTTTGTTAGAAAATCCTCAGGTAACAAAGCAGTATATTTGGAAATGACGTGGGATATGAATTGTGCTACTTCTCACTGCTTCATACAGTTATGGTTACAAGTGATCTCTTTGTGCCCACCTTTCTTTAACCATATTTCTGTTATATGACCCTGTGTTTGGCCTTACAATTTAATGCTTCTTGTTTCAATTATTTAACTTATCAATCCGCCGCCTTTCCTTCCAGAACTTCCAGGTTTAAAAATATTCTGTAGATTAAAATATATGCAATATTGTTGTTGAACTGGACTCAAACTATCTATAACATCAAAAACAATGTGCAACAAGCATTCGGAAAATAATTTTTAAAAATGCAGTATAGCAAACCTTTCCTTTCAAAATGGTTAGTTCCCCAGAGTTGTATTTTTCACAAGTCATTTCCTCTTAATGAAAGAATTCCTGGAGGAGGGCTGCTCTCATCTCCCCAAGAATGAGCTTTTATAAAGCCTAGTTTCCTCACCAGACCTGCTCGTGAGGATGGCAGGAAAGACAAAAGACCATCTTCCCAAAATCTCAAGGACTGAATAGGGTTATAGGGAGGTACTGCTTTTCCAATATCCTGGATCCACCCCATGTGTGGCTTTATAGGTCATAATCAGAGTTTTCATTTGAGCCAAGAAGCAGATCAGTAGCCGGAAGAACTGTTGAAACAAGGGAGATGTGTTCCTTGTCAACTGTGCCTGGCGAACTGGCTGTGTTTCTTTCAGTCGGCTGAATATTCTGAACACTTTTCAAAGGCTATTAAATAATGTATCTCATCCAGGAACCTTTGGAGCCAGGACACCAACCCATCTTCCAGTACTTTGCCCCAAAATTAGACACTGGAAAATTTCCAATAATTATTTATCTAATGTCTTTTAACTGCCTCTTTTAGACACATTGGAAACTTGTTTAGCTGTAAAGAGATGCTTGCCATTTTATTTACCCAATTTACCAAACACACTCATCAGTTTTTCTAAGTCAGGAAGAATAAGGATATAACAGATACAAGGTAGACCTATTGACATCCTTAGGCTGTATCCATGTTCCTTCGATGTCCACTATAGATATAGATCAGGCAAGCAACCAAGTCAGAATAGATCCCAACAAATTTACCTGCCACATGCTGTGCAAATTGTTCATAGTAGGATGCTCAGTGGTCTTCAATATCCATGAATATACCTGACAACTTAAAATAGGCCTACTGGACATATATGATAATGACAGCCAAATTACCCCAGCTAGTTTACCAGCTGTTAGGATTTCTGGGAGTTGAAGGCCAAAACATCTGGGGACCCACAGGTTGAGAACCAGTGCTCAAGCCCTTATTCAGTCATATCCATTCCAAATGGTGGGGCCCCAGTGACACAATGGGTTAAACCCTTTAGCCAGCAGGACTGCTGACTGACAGGTCAGCGGTTCAAATCCGGGGAGAGTGGGTTGAGCTCCCTCTGTCAGCTTCAGCTCCCCATGTGGGGACATGAGAGAAGCCGCCCTTAAGGATGGTAAAACATCAAAACATCTGGGCGTCCCCTGGGCAATGTCCTTGCAGAGGGCCAATTCTCTCACACCAGAAGCGACTTGCAGTTTCTCAAGTCGCTCCAGACATGAAAAAAAATTCCAAATGATCTACCAATATTGTTGTCACTTGTTTTATTATTTCCAGCTGCCCAAAAAACAGTGGTTGGGTTGGGCTCTACTCTCGGAGAGTGCTACACAGGAACAATCATGCCCTCCATCCTGGCCATTTCTCTGTTCCAGGGATCAACCAAGGCTCCAACAACATCACCTGTTAAGGGAATGGGAACTTTTCCAGGAGCCACCAGGAAACAATCTGGATCCATGACTCTCCTGGAAGAGATCTCCCCAGGCCCCAGCTATTCTAAATCTCACCCCATTTATGAAACTCTAACTGAAGAAACTTCTACTCTAAGATGGCCAACATTTCATCTAGCACAGAAATTGGAGTCATAGTTTGCCCTGCAGATACCACTTGAGTTGGAACCATAGTTGCCACGAAGGACATAAAATCCAGAGTCACTTTCAACAGGACAATCTCAGCATGATTGTTGAGGTCTTCCAGCACCACAAGATGAGGGGACTCCAATACTAACCATGATACTCGCCCTACTAGCTCAGGAAGGAAGATCATTGAGCAGTTAGGTGTATGGTATACCAGCAGAATCCCTCTTCTGTTGTTTTCTTCTGTCTTCAAATACACAATTAAAACCAATGAGATAAGGCACTTAGCAAGATGATAGAATCATGATAGATGGTACAGCTCCACTTCAAGTCTCATCTTCTACTTTAGAGAGCACCTGATAAACAAAGCTAGGAAAGACTTGACACCCTGAGCTTCAACTGACCAGGTTTCTGTGATAAAGCTGGGATAATATGCTCACCCATTTTCATTCACCGAGTAGCCACTTTCAGATATATTAAACTGCCATTTATTAGCTGTGGTTTTAACCCAGGAGACTGTTATCAAAACTAAACAGGGCACTTGAACATAGGGACCATTTACAGGCAGCCATTCTGTGTTGTGATTCCCTCTCCCATGATACCACTACTGTCTTTTTCCTGCCATATTTACTTCACAATTCCTGATTCCCTTCACGTGAAAAGAGAGCTCACTGTTCCAGTAGACAATCTTCCGTTCTGAAGCAAAGGGATAGCCTTCTTCCTCATTTCCTTGCCTGAAGAAGCAGACTTGGTAGTGGCAAGCCTGCCAGTGCAGAAACCCAGATTGTATTCTCTGTCTCAGACAGAAGACACAGCTGAACGTGGGAAGTATGTAGCTCTTTCTGGAGACTGTTGAAAGAGAGGTGGCAGCCTTCAGATGGTTCAGCAGACTCCCCTTCTCTTCACCTCTTAAGTGCTGCTGTAGTTCTTCCTGTCTCAAAAGGTTGCAGTGCCGATAATGTTCTCTTAGTGCCCCACATACAGAGACTCAAATCAGGAGTCCATTTGCCAATTTTGTTTGAAACTAATCAACAAGAGTGAAAGAATGGCTTCCAATGGCTCAGGTAAAAAGAACGAGAAGTAAATGACTGTCTCCCTAAATTGGAGGAAGGAAAAAGCATGTATCTCCAGCTGTTTGTAAATATGATAAGAAATTTAAAAAATAGGTTAAAAATGGGATCCTTCCTCTACTTCTCTTGCATTTCTATTATTGCTTTATTCAAAGGGAAGGTCCTAAAATAGCTTTTAATTAATGCTCTTCAGACTCTCCTCCAAGGAATTGCTTTCTTGTTCATCCATAACTCCTTTAAAGGTCAGGCTGAACTTATTTTGAATAGGAAAAATATAACCTCTGGCACAAGGTTGATGAATGCCTCAGCATTTCTTGTTAATCCTCTCATTTATTTTGATGCCTCTGTAAAAAAAGAAAGGGTCTATTTTTATACACGAATACCTCATCCAGTGAAGTAGATGTGTTCCTGACGTAAATAACGTGGAGATAATAGAGATAGGTCATTGTGCCACAAAAAAGAGTGGTTCGGTTTGCTTCAGCAAACTTAGGCACACTTCAAATAAATCAGTTCAGATAAGCCTTGCATAAATACTGTCAACAAAAGCATTTAAACTGATTTTTATAAGAATATTAGTGCTGGTCACTTATTTTAAATGCACTTAAACAATTATTTGATTGCATTTGAAGATGAGACAGAATTTTATCATCTAGTAAGCTAAAATTATTGCCTTACCCTGCATGTAAACATCACATTTAGGTACACGTGGATCTTCTACTTCTTTTGTGTAGCTTACTGATGAGCATATAAATAGATTAATCTTTTATTTGGAAGAATGTAATTCTGTTTTAATAAAAAGGACAGATTTCAGGTAGTTTTCTAATGAGCAAAACTAGCTACCTAATTTGTGGTATTCAGTATTGCCATGGCTTACCATAAAATTCTGGGTTGTGATCAGAAACTTGAAATTAATGTGTTTTTGCAAATGCAGATTTCTTAATTGAAATTTTTGTTTCTTTTTTCAGACTGTCCCAAGAGGCAAAACCTTACTCTTTCAGGCAAAGGTAACATTCAAAATTGATGGAGCATTTTACCCTTTCTTTAAGTAGGAGCCATCTTTCCTAGACTAGGATGAGGAACAATGGCTTCAAACTACAAGAAAGGAGATTCCACCTGAACATTAGGAAGAATTTCCTAACTGTGATAATGGGATTCAGCAGTGGAACTCTCTGCCCCAAAGTGTGATGGAGGCTTCTTCTTTGGAGGCTTTGAAAAAGAGGCTGGATGGCCATCTGTTGGGGATGCTTTGAATGAGATTTTCCTACTTCTTGGAAGGGGGTTGGCCCACGGGTTTTTTTCCAACTCTATGATTTTATGGTCCCTCATTAGGATACCTTGCAAGGAAGAGAATTGGGTATATGTTGTCAAAGTAGGCAGTGACTGAAACTTGTGTCAAATCTTTTCCATCTTAGGAAACTGCATAACCTTTGCTATTTTATAGTTGTCTTTAACCCCCACAGACATAAAAATAATGTCTTGTGCAGTCTTGTCCTTCATAAGTGACCATATATACACTCATGTGTAAATCAACTACATTAATAAGTCAGTGGCATGTTTTGGGCCCCAAATTATGGGTTTTAATATGACCCATAGATAAGTCAAAAGTTCATTAGCAAAGAGGAAAATGCACCAATATCACCATAGTGTCCAGCCACCCCTGGCAACCACTGCCATTTCCCCAACAAGGCATTCAAAAAGGCCAGAAGCGGTGCCAGAGTGGAGAGAGAAGACGGAGCTGGTACTTCTTTTAGGTTCTTCTGGAATAGACTGCGCTCTTTTCTTTTGCCACTCTGTTCAGAGGGAGGAGGGAGCAAGCTTGTTTTCTTCTGCCCTGGAAACTAGGACGCGGAACAGTGGCTTCAAACTGCAGGGAAGGAGATTCCACCTCAACATTAGGAAGAACTTCCTAATTGTGAGAGCTGTTCAGCAGTGGAACTCTCTGCCCTGGAGTGTGGTGGAGGCTCCTTCTTTGGTGGCTTTTAAGCAGAGACTGGATGGCCATCTGTTGGGGGTGCTTTGAATGCAATTTTCCTTCTTGGCAGGGGGTTGGACTGGATGGCCCATGAGGACTCTTCCAACTCTATGATTCTATGAAAGGATTTTTTTTCTCTCTCTTTATATGTATGTGTGTGTGTTATGGTACAGTAGTCACATTGATCCATGGATAATTTCTATACTTATATCCTATACTCATGTATCTTTTTTTGTAACTAGGAGCAAGGCTACTAACCCATGTTGCCTTTCATTGCAGGAGGAGTTCACAGGGTATGATTTTGAGAACAGGTTACACGTCCGCATACACGCAGCTTTGGCCTCTCTAAAAGAAGTGGTCCCTCAGTGAAGCCTCACCTCTTCCCTTCTGAACAACTCCTGAACTCTCTGTTACGAGGGAGGTCCACTTTTCTCCTGGAAAACCACCTGTGCCAGGGAGGACTTGTAGAACTGGTGGCAGAAGAATGTTCCAGTCTCACTGATTAAGGACAAAATTAACCAAAAAGGTTACGTGACTAAATTCAGGCGCAACTTCTCCTGTGCAAACCCTAGTTTTAAAAGTGGGAGCTAGAAGTCAGCCCCTACTGGATGGTGGGGTTCGTGCTGGAGAACTAGCCCCAGAGTTAAAAAACCTTATATTCTAGTGCTGGTGAACCTGGGGGTGGGGTGGGGGTGGTATTGGGGTGTATGTTAATGTTTAGTTTGGTTTCTAAGCCAAGCTGAACATATTAGCCTGTGATTGTACAAATTGAGCCTATAATAAGCACACTTTGATTTCCTACTAAAATACTGTGGCAGTTTTCACAAGTAGGATTTTTTTTTCTGTTTCTGAATATTTTTTCTTTTTATAGTAAAGGAACCACGTTTTCATTAAACAGTTCTATATAGTTGTTTCGAACTGTACATAGGCAGAAATGATATATAATTTTTTGCTCAGAATCCAGCAAGAATCTAGCTGGTAAAAACGATGCCCAGCACAGTCACAGCACAACAGACCTATTTATTTGAGTTTTTGTACAGGTATCTGTGAATAACAAAACCTGCCTCCATATTCATGTTAAATTTAGAAATATTCTTCTATTTTTCAGCCAAATGTTTATTTTTAAAGTCCTTATTTACTGTGTTAGGCACGTTTATATCCGTTTAAAATCGTACTGTGGCCTATTAGCCTTGCTTTTACAAGGTGTTTACAAATTATCATTCATGTTGCTAAAATTTAGGTTGAATATAAGACAACTTGCCATGTGGTATTCTAAATCTTCGGTGTTGCTATAACCTTCCTCCATCTTTGAAGCTTTTCAGGTATCATAGCAGTGTAGAATTACTTTTCACACATCATTTTAATGAGTTTTTTAAAAAGCACATGTGGGTCTCGGGTTTTGTTTTTGGAATAGCATTTTTTCCTAAATGCTTCAGAGTTGTGTAATTCTGCAAAGCAGGAGTAGTGCACTTTTTCCTTCTAAAAGCCTTATCTATTTACATTTTGAATCTGGTGTGTGTGTTTTACTTGCATTGACCAGCTCCATTATGCTAATGGCGCATAGAGTTAGAAATCCATTTTTTCCCTGATTCAGAGCTCTCTGGTTATTTCTGGTGATCATGTTGAACACTGTGCAAGAAAGAGTTACTTACTCACCTCCACAACTGAGTGATTATTTATATGGTGTACCAAATATAACTCGTATTCCAGTGTGAATAGGTCCATTCCTTGGACTGTTAGTTATATGTTGTTGTTGCTAGATCAAATTGCTTCCTTTATCTGGTCACTAAAAAAAAAATCACTTCATTCCAGCAATTAAATTTGCTGCTTTTTGGAGGAAAACAGTATATTAGGAGCTATATTGCTGCTTTAATTTTATAGTAACACTGAATGTTGTGGGGACATTTCTTCAACCCTCATTTTCTTTCTTTGGAGACCATATTTTTAAGATGGCAAGTTATTTTATGATTTGCTGATTTTGTCATGATGTAGCCATACACTGCATGAGTATGTATGTCTTAATATTGCAGTATTTAAGGTCTGTTTTTTTCTGGATTTAGAATTCAATGTTTTCTTGAGATACTTGCAATAGATTTTCACACTGTTCAGTATCGGAGTTGTGAGAGATGAACAGGACAAGAAACTAACAACAGCAGTGCTAGAGTCAGCGCTTGCAGTGACAGAAGGATTGTTTCCATCCTGGTTTCCACTCACAAAGAACAATAGATATAGAAAACAGAAGTAGTACTGCCTTTGAATATATATGGCATACAAGTACTGAGCGCAGAAAACACGAGGAACCATCTTGGATCTGAACATAATGGGAAATACTCCTTGGAGAAAGTATGAGAGAGAGACAAATGAAATGTACCTATGTGAAGTAGTGTTGATCACTAATTGTGATTTATAACTAGATATAATGTATTTAATTTATCTTTCACATTCCTTCGTTGGTCTGAGCAGGTTTACCCTACCTGCATTTTTTTTTCTTCACAAGACACAATTTACAAAAGTTAAAACTAAACTCCATTTGAAGCAAGCTTTGTTAAGACAGTGGTTCTCAACTTGTGGGTGCCCAAGTGTTTTGGCCTACAACTGCCAGAAAAATCCCAGCCAGTTTACCAGCTGTTAGGATTTCTGGGAGTTGAAGGCCAAAACATCTGAAGACCCACAGGTTGAGAACCACTGTGTTAAGAGTATTTGCACCAACTTAACTGATTTGTCACAAGTCATAGCTATTCAAAGTTACAAACCCTTGAACCTTCTCAAAAGTAACCGTATGAGGGATCAACCTGTGACTACATGATCATGAGTGTGTTCCTATCACCAGATCTTTCCAGAGGTGCCCTTGTCTGTCCTGTGAGCGAAATGCCCTTGCCTTGTATAATGAGAGTGGCTTAGTGCCGCCAACTGGTGCCACATGGATTTGAATTATCTTCCCCACTTCCATCCTCTCATGCACACCTTAGAGAAGAAACCGCTAGCCTGTAAATGTCAAAAGGTATTTTTATATTAGATTATGCCGGTGATGAGTACTGTATTTTATGTAACTGGAATATGTTTTTTATACTTTATAGCTCGGAGGCATGGTCTAATAGCAATAATGAAGTAAGCATTCTCCTTGTTAATATATATATAAAATATAAGAAATTTACCAGGTCAGGTATATTTGTTGTTGTTGATACCTTTTTTATTGCATTAGACCTTTCAGTGAATAATTTGGATTTTTACATGCCACTTTAGACAATTTACTGTGACGTGCTGTACATGTTTATTCATTTACCTGTAAAAAAATATTTCTGCTTAGTAAAACAAAGAGCAAGATTTAAGTGTTGGTAGTTATTCTTTAGTTGAGAAGCTTTCTCACAAGACACAAGTTAAAGGATACCCGGATGCTTATCAGAGTGACTTCTGGAGAAACTTGGTGTTATGCAAGAAAAATGTAAAACTCTTGGTAGATTTTTTTTAAGCAGCTGTAGAAGTTTTGTGTTTGGTCAGCATAAAAAGAAGGGGGCACCAAACCTTCTCTTTCCTGTCATAGATCTTTTCTTTTCCACAGCAAGCAAGAGCTGAACATGATCCATCTCCCATCACCTTTGTCATAAATGGATGATATGTTTTCATCAGGTGAAGGCACTCCATCCGTTTTCATAAAATCAGAAATGTCAACCTACAGCTGCATTAGGATTTTTACAAAAACTATAGGGAGCCTCCCCTTGTGAAATGTCTAGCTCAGTAGTTCTCAACCTTCCTAATGCCACAACCCCTTAAGGCACAACTCATGTTGTGGTGACCCCCAAACATAAAAATATTTCCGTTGCTACTTTCATAACTGTAATTTTGCTACTGTTATGAATTGTAATGTAAATATCTGCAAGATATATTTTCATTCACTGGACAAAATTTGGCACAAATATCGGCTGTGCCCACATTTGAATACTGGTGGGACTTGGGGGAGATTGATTTTGTTATTTGGGAGTTGTAATTGTTGGATTTATAGTTAACCTACACTCAAAGAGCATTCTGAACTCCACCAATGATGGTATTGAACCAAACTTGGCACGCAGAGCTCCCATGACTTATAGAAAATACTGGAAGGGTTTGGTGGGCATTGACCTTGAGTTTTGGAGTTGTAGTTCACCTACATCCAGAAAGCCCTGTGGACTCAAACAATGATGGATCTGGACCAAACTTGGCATGAATACTCAATATGCCCAAATGTGAACACTGATGGAGTTTGGGGAAAATAGACTTTGACATTTGGATGTTGTAATTGCTGGGTTTTATAGTTCACCTACAATCAAAGAGCATTCTGTACCCTACCAACAATATAATTGGGTCAAACTTCCCACACAGAACCCCTATGACCAACAAAATATTGTGTTTTCCGATGGTCTTTGGCGACCCCTCTGGCACCCCTCTCGCGACCCCCCCCCCCCCAGGGGTCTCGATCTCCAGGTTGTGAAACACAAGTCTAGCTCATTTCTACAGACTAATATTCCTCTGAGGCCATAATCCTGTTTCTGTTTGTAGCATTTTGATCTGCAGGTGGTGGGTTTGCATACTTGAATACTCCTTCATATTAAAATATACACACAGAAAACTAGCTTTCTGGAAGAGATCCGGCTTAGAATTATAGTTCTTGATCTCCCTAGATTTCTGTGCACAGACCAGGCACTGGGTAATCATTTTAAGTGAAAAGGCGAAAGTCCTTTGCACCTGTATCCACCTGAACACCTATCCTTCCATTCTGCTATATTTCCTTCAAGTTTACGGATTCACACTTGACAACATTCATATCACAATATAAAGTATCTATGGTGGGGCCAATTGAGAATTATTTCCCTGAATTTCAACTGCTGATTTCCCCCCAGTTTAGAAAGGATAGTGATTCTTTCATTGTAGGGTCTCCCATGTAAACATAAGGAAACCCTGCTGTTTAATGGTACATGTACTCTCTAAAATTAATGCACTACCATGTGTATTTAGTTGGGTACTGACTGTCAGGTTCAGTGTATGAGCTGTTTTTCAATTAAGGGTTCTGTAAGAGTATTTCATACATACGCCAAAGCTCTGTTTCTATTCTGTTTTTTTCCTCCATGCAAAATCTGTATTTATTCATGTTTTGAATGTTTTCCTTAAAAATTGTGTTCTGTTTTCTATTTTCTGCCTTTAACTTTCAGGTTTTTTTTTTGTTTCTTATTCTCTCATATTCTCTTTCTAAAATAAAAATCCGTAGTACTGTTTTGACTCAGTTCTTCCATTTAAGAATACATTCCATTGTGATGTTAATGTCTACCGTTCTTGTATCTCCCTTACTTCATATTTTCCCATCAGTATATGGGAAGGTCAACCTAATTACACAAATTGTGTATCTTTGTATTCTACAAATGTGTCAGTGGGATGCATCCGTAATACAACAGAAGAATATGATTTGGGTTTTAATAGTTTGAATATTGAATGGGAACACAATTGGAAGGGGAAAATCAAAATAAACTTTATAGTTTCTCATCAGGACAGATCATCCTTCCTCCTTCGGTGTGTGAGACTGCCACGGAGACAAAGGATTGGGTAAAGTAAAGGTAAAGGTTTCCCCTTGACATTAAGTCTAGCCGAGTCCGATTCTGGGGGGTGGTGCTCATTTTGCATTTCTAAGTCAAGGAGCTGGCATTGTCCGTAGACACCTCCTAGGTGATGTGGCCGGCATGACTACATGGAGCGCCATTACCTTCCCGTCTGAGTGGTAACCCATTGGTCTACTCACATTTGCATGTTTTTGAACTGCTAGGTTGGCAGGAGCTAGGGATAACGATGGGAGCTTACCCCGCTCCGTGGATTTGAACCGCCGAACTTTCAGTCAGCAAGTTCAGCAGCTCAGCAGTTTAACCCACTGTGCCACCAAGGCCCCCCTAAGGAATTGGGTAGTACCTACATTTTTCATTTAGGATCACTTGGTGGATACATTTTAGAACTGTTTATGCTTGACATTAAAATGTTTTTAAAATTGCCATATATTCTCATGTATGAGCCTAGAAATGTCAGTGAAAAAATCAATCCAAAGACCTGTGTCAGCTTATCCACAAGTCAGTGTAAGTACTGAGCCTTAACTCAGGAAGCATCACATTCTCTTAAGTCAGGCATCTCAAATTCTGCCCCCTCCCCAACTGTTTTGGCCACCAACTCCCAGAATTTCTGGCTATTTATCAAGCTGGTTAGAGTTTCTGGGAGTTGGAGGCCCAAATAACTGGAAGGTTGGAGTTTGAGGGTGCCTGTTCTAAGTAGAATCGTTTTTTTTTTTTTTTGTCGTGTCAGGCGCAACTTGAGAAATTGCAAGTCGCTTCTGGTGTGAGAGAATTGGCTGTCTGCAAGGACGTTGCCCAGGGGACGCCCGGATGATTTGATGTTTTTATCATCCTTGTGGGAGGCTTCTCTCACGTCCCTGCATGAGGAGCTGGAGTTGACAGAGGGAGCTCATCCACCTCTCGCTGGATTTGAACCTGCGACCTGTCAGTCTTCAGTCCTGCCAGCACAGGGGTTTAACCCACTGCGCCACCAGGTTTAACCCACTACGCCACTGCGTAGAATAGTGAAAGGTGATAACTTAGTCCATCCTGGAAGAACCTTAAAAAACACCAATTTCCTCTCAGCTATTGTGCTGCTTCTGCCTTGGTCTGTTGGGTTAAAGCCCTCTTTAAGGGGAATAAGGCTGTAAATGCAAATATTCTGGAGAGTAAGCCATACTTCAAGCACGTAAGTGAAGCAGAAGTGTTTAGAATCCTGTTCAGGATCCTGTTCCCGCTGAAGCAGTACCTATTGATCTACTCATTTGTATTTTTGAACTAAGTTGGCAGAAGCTGGGCCTAACATCAGGAGCTCATCCCACTCCCCGGATTCAAACCGCTGACCTTTTGGTCAGCAAGTTCCAACAGCTCAGTGGTTTGACCTGTTGTACCACCGGGGGCATAACAGTGTTGTTTATGAAGCACCTATTGCTACAATGTGTTGACTATAATTTCCATCGTCCTGAAACTGTGGTCTTCAAGCAACTGGAAAGCCCAGGAGGCTGAATCAGGCACAGAAGGCTTAGGTTTGCATCCACACTGTTTGCATCCACTTTAACTAGCCATGGCTCACTACTATCTAGTTTTGGAAGCTCTAGCTTTCTTTCGCAGTGAGTGACCAAACTACAACTCCCATTGTTCCATCGCCTTGAGCCATGCATGGCTGTTCAAAGCCAATGTCATTGAGGAAGCCTCCCTGCAGGAGAAGAACACAACAAAAGGACACCTCAGGCCACGCCCACTTCCTTTGCTGCGGATCCCGCTCTGCCTCTGTGACGTCACAAAGGCACGCGCTCTGGCCCCGCCCACCAAGCCCCCGCCGGTATAAAAGGCGGGCCGCTCTCGCGCGCCGCCTCAGAGGAGGCTCCGGCAAGGGGCGAGGAGGAAGCGTTAGCGCTGCCGAGGAGCGAAGTCTTTTGTATGGTTGAGAAGCGGGAGGAAAAAAAAAGGTTGGCGCGTTTCCACAGAGGCTAGAAGGAGAGAGAAAGCGAGAGAGCGCCTCCTCGACGCTTCAAGGAGGAACAGAGAGGGCGAGGATGCTTTTGGGCCTTGTCTGTGGGTACCTCTACACCAGGCATGGGCTAACTTGGCCCATGCCTGCACTACACTCTTATTTTGATACCACTTAAACTGCCATGTCTCAATGCATTGGAATCCTGGGAGTTGTACTTTAACACAGCCTTTAGCCTCCTCTACCTCACCAAACTCCAACTCCCATGGCTGTTCCAAGTGGTGTCAAAGTGTAGATGCACCTTGTGGAGGGACAGGGCTTGAGCTCCTGCTCTAAAGAGGGCCAGAGTCCTCTCTTCTCCTGTCCCTTTTTCAGCGTCCTCAAGCTATCATATGTCACAGAAATCAGTCTATACATTGAGGAATGTAGGAACAAGAATACTGGATTGTATCCATCAAGAATTCGTTGTTGCTCAACCTTCCTAATGCCGCAACTCCTTGAGACAGTTCTTCATATTGTGGAGACCACCAACCATAACCTTATTTCTGTTGCTACTTCATATCTGTAATTTGGCTACTGTTATAATTGTAATGTAAATATCTGAGAGCCGTTCAGCAGTGGAACTCTCTGCCCCGGAGTGTGGTGGAGGCTCCTTATAGAATCATAGAATCAAAGAGTTGGAAGAGACCTCATGGGCCATCCAGTCCAACCCCCTGCCAAGAAGCAGGAATATTGCATTCAAATCACCCCTGACAGATGGCCATCCAGCTCTGTTTAAAAGCTTCCAAAGAAGGAGCCTCCACCACACTCCGGGGCAGAGGGTTCCACTGCTGAACAGCTCTCACAGTCAGGAAGTTCTTCCTCATGTTCAGATGGAATCTCCTCTCTTGTAGTTTGAAGCCATTGTTCCGCGTCCTAGTCTCCAGGGAAGCAGAAAACAAGCTTGCTCCCTCCTCCCTGTGGCTTCCTCTCACATATTTATACATGCTATCTGAAGCTTTTAAATGGAGGCTGGATGGCCATTTGTCAGGGGTGCTTTGAATGCAATTTTCCTGCTTCTATGATTCTATGATATAGAGGAATATGTTCACTGGACAAATACACAATACGCCCAAATTTGAATACTGGTGGGGTTGAGGAAGGTTGATATTGTCCTTTAGGAGTTGTAGTTGCTGGGATTTATAGTTCATCAACAAAGCATTCTAAACTCCATTGATGATGGAATTGGGCCAAACGTGGCACACGACTCTCCTATGACCAACAGGAAACACTACAAGGGTTTGGTGGGCATTGACTTTGAGTTTGGAAGTTGTAGTTCACCTACATCCAGAGAGCACTGTGGAATCAAACAATGATGATCTGGACCAAACTTGGCACGAAACTCAACATGCCCAAATGAGAACACGGGGGGAGGGGGGGAAATAGACCTTGATATTTGAGAGTTGTAGGTGCTGGGATTTATAGTTCGCCTACAATCAAAGAGCATTCCGAACCTCACCAACGATAGAATTGGGTCAAACTTCCCACACAGAACCCCCATGCCTGCAGGGACTCGCTGCTGTGCGCCTCCCTCCAACCTCATACGTTCTCCCTTGCTTGCACATGAGTACTACACTGCCATGCGCCATGCATGCCTGCTCTCCCCTCCCTGCTTGGAGTCTCAGAAATAACCCTCCCCAGGAGGAGGGCTTTTGATGGAAGGATTTGCCATCTGTTTCCAAAAAGGAAAAAGGACAGGCAGAAATATCTTCAGCCTTTTCTGCCAAAGGGATTGCTAAAACCATCAAAAATATATGTTTTCTGATGGTCTTTGGTGACTGCAGTTTAACACCACTTTAATTGCTGTGGGTCAAAACTATGGGATCCTGGGAGATGAAGTTTGGTGAGACCTTGTCATTACATTTCCCAGGATTCTATAGCATTGAGCCATAACAGTTAAAGTGGCATCAAATAGCATTTATTCTACAGTGAAGATCAAGCATGGGCAAACTTTGGCCCTCCTCCAGGTATTTTGGACTTCAAGTCCCACAATTCCTAACAGCAGGCTGTTAGGAATTGTGGGAGTTGAAGTCCAAAACACCTGGAGGAGGGCTGAAATTTGCCCATTCCTTGTGTAGATGCACCACATGACTCTGGAGACCAGGGTTCATTTCCCCACTCAGCTGTGGAAACTCAATGCATTATCTTGGTTGAGTCACATTCTCATAGCCACAGAAAACCCTGATTAGACACACAACAGCAACAATGCTTTCCATATTTACTTTTGAAAAAGTCCAATATACTCCCTACTGGATAGACAATATTGGCACTCCAGATGTTTTTGGACTGCAATTCTCATCAGCCTCAGCCAGAACAGCCAATGGTGAACACTTATGAAAGCTACTGTCCAAAAACTTTTAGAGTATCCCCATGGTTTAAATGGGCCCACTTTTCAATAATAGCGTTTCGGGTTATGAAATAAGAGAATGAGCAAAAGGTATAGACTTCCTGCAAGAGAGACAAAACACCCGATCTTAAAACGATCAAATATTAGAAGTACTGGCCATATGGTTCTTGTGGGTTTTTTCGGGCTATAGAGCCATGGTCTAGAGGCATTTCTCCTGACGTTTCGCCTGCATCTATGGCAAGCATCCTCAGAGGTAGTGAGGTCTGTTGGAATTAGGACAATGGGTTTATATATCTGTGGAATGGCTGGGGTGGGGCAAAGAGCTCTTCTCTGCTGGAACTAGGTGTGAATGTTTCAACTGACCAATTTGAAAGCCTGGCTGAGCCTGGGAAAATCTTTTGTTGAGAGGTGTTAAGATGTGCTTGGTTGTTTCTTCTCTGCTGTTTTGCTGTTGTAATTTTAGAGTTTTTTTAATACTGGTAGCCAGATTTTGTTCATTTTCATGGTCTCTTCCTTTCTGTTGAAATTGTCCACATGCTTGTGGATTTCAATGGCTTCTCTGTGTAGTCTGACTGGCCATATGTTTTGTGCTTCAAAATAAGTGAGCAGAAAACTAGAACAAGTATTTATGAATATGAAATATCTGAGGCTTGCCTTTTACTATAGAGGCATATTTACCAACGTTAGTGTCTGTGAGATGATATGACCTCCCCACATCTTCAAGACCTTAGTTGTTCTGCCTTAAGCAAGCAGAGATTTGAAAACCAACATTCCGAAATGATATTTCCTGGGGTGTGATGCCTTTCATTTGGGATCAACAACTAAAAAACAGACTTCCAGTATTACTTTGCCATCTCTCTTCTCCCCAAGGGGTGTCTTTTGAAACCTCCTTTAGGGGAACTAGACAGTCCCATGAAATGTTTCGCCTGATAAGCTTAAAAAGTTCATATTAGTTGATCCGTTTGGGTCATGCTGTTTCTCCTTCTCACTCACTTCTTATTCCTAACACTTAATGGAGAGAATGAGTAGTGCCTGCCATTCTCTTTTTCACCAGTATAGAGAATAGGAATCCAGGGTGCATCTGTAGATTGAATACAGTTTGACACCACTTTCACTGGTTTGGCTCAATGCTATGGAATTCTAGGAGTTGTAGTTTGGTAGGGCACCAGGTACAGTTTTGGGCAGAAAAGGCTAAAGAAAGACATCGTAAAACTACAATTTCTGTTATTTTATAGCATTGAGCCATAGCAGTTTAAACTGATGTCAGGCTACATTAATTCTCCAGTATAGCTCAGGAAATTCAATTGCACTATTTTAAATTATTTTTAATTTAAATTATTTTTTTACCTATTTTGTAACTGTTGTTTTATCTGTTTGTATATGGGGGGCATTGAATTATTGCTGGCTGTAAGCCACCCTGAGTCCCCTTTGGGGGGTTCAGAAGGGCGGGGTACAAATAGTTGAAATAAATAAATAAATAAATAAATAAATAAATAAAGGGCCAACTTCAACCTTACAGGTGTTTTGAGCTTCAACTCCCACAATTCCTAACAGCCGGTAGGTGGGAGTTGAAGCCCAAAACACTTGTAGGGCTGAAATTTGCACATTCCTGGTATAAATTCACCCTAGGATTATTCATAGTAATGTGTGAAGTTCGCTGACATATATTATGTGTTCTTCTGGAAATTAAACAGGGTTGGGCCTAGTTAAATTTTGGATGTAAAGGCACTAGGGAATGAATACATGGTTCTGGCCCAACTTACCTGTCCGAATCTCCCCTTATGAACCTGCAAGGACCTTAAGATCATCTGGAGAGGCCCTGCTCTCGGTCCCGCCATTATCACAAGTACGGTTGGCGGGAATGAGAGACAGGGCCTTCTCAGTGGTGGCCCCTAGGCTATGGAATGCCCTTTCTAGGGAGATTAGATCCGCTTCCTCGCTCCTATCATTCCGGAAGAATCTTAAGACATGGCTATTTGAACGGGCATTTGAAAATATGGAGTAACGGATATAATGATGGAATAACTATATAGCGGAATTGGACATTGTTTTAATGATTATCGATTGAAGTATGGTTCATTATAATGTTTGATTTTATAGTTGCTGATGTTTTTTATATTGTATATTGTAATTGTGTCCTTGGTGGCATTGAATTCTTGCCTTGTAAACCACCTCAAATCGCCGTAAGGCTGAGGGGAGCGGTATAGAAATGTACTAAATAAATAATACAAGAGATCTCCAAATTGGAGGAAGTCCTACATGAAACCTTCCTGGAAAATCATGTATGTCAGAGTTAACATAAATTACATAGTTAGGTTGACCAAATGGTCTGACTCAGTATAAGACAGCTTCCTTCTATGACAATGACCCACTTTCCTATACTTACCAGACTTAGGGGGAATCAACACCATAGAACTGATGTAGTTTGAGACTATTTTAACTGCCATGTCTCAAGGCTGTGGAACTGTGAGTGTTTCACATTATCTTTAGTCTTCTGTGTCCAAGAGTGTTGGTGAATCAACAAACTACAGACCTCATGATCCCATAGTATTGAGCCATGGCAGTTAGTGGTGTCAAATTTCCTTAATTATATAGTGTAGATGGTTATTAATAGTGCTAGTGTAATTATTGAATGGGATAGAGGATAGGTCAATTTATATGGCTGTTTGGTAGCTAAAGAGTCCATATTCAGTGCCAGTATTTCAAGAGTCGCCTGTGGTTTGAGAGGGAAAATATCATTATTTCATCACATGGACTATGGATTAAAGTGTACCTCTTAATACCTGAGATCTAGTATGTTAGAATGGAAAAATGGTTGGACGGGTTGAATATCCCTTATCTAAAATGTTTGGGACCAGAAGTATTTTGGATTTTTTTCAGAATTTGGGATACCTGTGTTTGCATATGCATACTTCATAAAATATTTTGGAGATGGGATCCAAGTCATTAATGTTTTGTGTGCACCTTGTTCACATAACTATAATTTTATGCACAATATTTATCATAGTTTTGTGCATGACAAAAGTTTGTGCTCATGGAACCATCAGAAGCTTTTTACTATTTGTAAAGCACTACCATATTGTCATTTTGACCGGAGAGAAAATCCTAATAGAACCTTTCATACCCAGTAAATGGCCTTTGAAAATGTTCATATGCATTTTTCCCATTACCAGTCTGTTCATCCATATTTAAGATCCATAACTCTGTTTTCAGAAAACAGACATTTATATTGTCGATGTCAAAGGCAAGTTGGTTGTGTTTGAGTGCCAAATTATTCCCTTGAATGGTAACATTATTTTAGATAATTGAGTTCCACGGAACATTTTGTAGTAAATGTGATTCATATTGTTGCCCCAAGAGGAATGCAAAAATAACTAAGGCAGTACTTACCACTGAACCAACAACATCTGCTTTGTATAAAGATGCCTGTAGCTTAGACCTTTGCCAGAAGAAAGGGCAAAATAATTAATTGTGAGTGAAAATGGAAATAAAGAGAATATATATGGCCCAGTTGTTGCATCTGTTTTGCCAGTGAAAGCATTCATATGATGCAGCATTCACACCCTAAAACTCAAGTGAACATGCCCATTGTGCATTTTATAGTATCTTTATGTTGTGGGGCCAGGGCTGTTTTATAGTTCTTTTATTATTTGGTTTCTACGTTTTTAAAATGATTTTAACAAACTTACAGGTTTAATTCTATTTTAATATTTATATAGGAATCAGAAAGGCATGCTTTTAGCCCTCTGAATGTAATCCCACAATCTTTTATCATTGGTTATATTGACAGTTCAACATCTGAAGGTTCAGTGTTGCCCACCTCTGCTGTAAAATAATACAATTTAAATTCTTCATACGTTGTTGAATGGCTAAGGTGGTAAAATGATGGTAGTGGCCATCACAGGGAAAATCTGAATAGCTTAGGAATTTAGGGTAGGTGGGAGATTGTGCGTTGTCACTTGCCCAGGATAATCTTAGAGCATTTACAAAAATGACCACAATCTTGAAACAACAAGCAATCTATGTAGTTTTACCGTTCTTGCTTTTTTATGAACTCTGTGTTCAACTACAGCTGTCAGTTCTGTAAAATTATATTTTACAGAAATGAGTACCACCGTCAACCCTCCACATTCTCTGTAGTTAGAAGCAAAGGTCCCCCATAAAAGTGAGGAAATGAATATGTTGGGATTTTTTTAATGTGAGAGAATCCATCTAGTAATTTCTAGGTCTTTCAGCAGGATTCTATGATCAAGCTGACCACAGAATCACACTGCAGGACATACAGATTCCTAGAGATACGTTTTCTCGAAGTCAGCATTCCCAATCCTTTGGTCTTCAGATCCTACAATTCCAAACATCTGGTAAACTGGTTGAGATTTCTGGGAGTTGAAATCTAAAACACCTGGAGGAGAAAAGATTGAGAACCAGTTCTCTATGTCCTGCAGCATTAATGGAGGAAGTTGACCCAAGTCATTATAGTTCCTGGAGAATATTTTAATCAAATCCATAAATAATTAAATCTGCAAAAGTCAAAACAGCAAATTCTCTATATTGTGTCTAGGTTTTATTTAATATACTTGTATTAGTGTAGTGCTGGTGCCAAATTGAGCCAGAGCATGAAAGGAAAGACAGTTTATGGATGAAATTAATTATGACGTGAATCCATTTTGGACTAGAGCAGAGCTCGTGACAAGGAAATGTCAGAATTGTTGTTCAAAGAGTAACATTTCTGAGCTATGTACTCCGCCTCCCGTCCCCCTCAGTGACAATAGTCTTCCTCCTTCAACCAATTTCCTTTCCTTCCAGTTTTGCAATTGCAGTTTTGTCTTCAGCGGGCAACAATGCATACTGCGAAGCCCAGGATGGTGGTGCCTTATGGCCTGAAGACACTACTTGAGGGAGTCAGCAGAGCTGTTCTCAAGGCCAGTCCACCCAACATCACCGAATTTGCTGCTATCTATTTCAGGGAGCTGATACTTTTTCGAGAAGGTTTGCTTTCTGCTTTCTCTATGGTTTTACTTTAAAAAAAAGTTAAATATGTGTTCATAGAGGATTTTTGCCGTTATTGTGGTAGCATCGTTATGATGGCTTCATTGTTCATAACAACTTATTTATGGTTTTTGAAAGCCAAATCTTATGATGATTTATATTAATGTTTCTCTCCCCTATTTTCCCCTCCAGAACATCCTAATTTGGACATTAAAGATCTGGTGAGAGAATTTCATGCCACAAGAGGTAGGAAATTAGCAGAATACAAATACTTTATTGGTTGGATTTTATATTATGTCAAAGAACAACAACAATTATTATGTTATTAATTTTAATAATTTTAATATATTTATTAATATTTTGTGTATATAAGATCTGGTGAGATAATTTTACATCACTAGAGGTAGGAAATTTGCAGAATATGAATACAGACAGGATAGGTTCAGTAGGTTTGCTCTTAAGTTGAATTTGTATGTAAGTCAGAACAGGGGCATTTTAAAAGTGTAACTCCCCATATATATATATATATATATATATATAGAGAGAGAGAGAGAGAGAGAGAGAGAGAGAGAGAGAGAGAGAGAAGCTTTGGATAGCTTAGGGAAGGGTTAATACCCCTGTGGTGTCTGCTTTGTTGCCTATTCCCCTGTTCAGAAGATTTCCCTGCACTTTCTGTCCCTGTGATAATTGGATTTTGAAAAAAAATGGCTTGTTGCGGAAACCAGAATTGGTGAGAAAGTCGATGCACCTTTTCCCCATGATACCTCTTTCAGGAGTGAATTTCCCTTCTGAGTGTTGGTTTGTCTTGCTTCCTGTTTCTCATCCCTGTTCTTAACTATGAGTCATTTGTAAATCGGATGTTTGTAATTGGGGGACTACCTGTAGTTTCTTGGTGGGATTATATGTTGTGTAGAATACCGCAATAATTATATTAATAATTTTAATGTGTTTATTAATATTTTGTACCTGAAATGCCATTATAGTACTTGCTGTGGCTGTGATTCGTAGGATAAATGTGATATGTAGTGCAAGGGTTGTTTTCCACTTCTGCACTAACTCTTTTCTGCCAGCCTTTTCCTAGAAATAATAAAAATAGCGGGGTGAATTTTAAGCTGAAAAATGGTCCTGGGGCCAGGGGGTGAAGGGATTGCACCAATTTCCCGTTTAGATTGTGGCCTCAGTGATATATTTATATATTTTAGACAGCTCCAAGAATAATTACAGCACATGATCTTGAATCCTGTTAAGACAGTAAACTAGCATAAAAATACAGAATTATACAAGCAGCTGTGCCTTTCTGAAGATTGTGTCAATGTGGTCCCTAGGCCAGCTTTTTTTTTCACAAGGACATACAGACCTCCCTCCCAGAAAATAGGCTGCTGTTGGGAAATAGGCAAACACAAGCAGTTGCACAACTTTAAAAAAACTATTTTAAATCTTTGAATTTGTTCTAACTTGTTCAATATGTCTATTAAAATTATTTTTACTGTTTTAATCTGCTAGTATTGATTTTACCTGAGATCATTTGGTATAAATATTCTCATAAATAAAGAATGGGATCCATTATATGTCCTAATATCCTAAAGGTAACATATCCCATCTCTTCTTGGAAGCTCACCAGGGTCACCCTTCGTTAGTTCGTGGATTAATGAATATCAGGTGCAATGGGCTGCACTTTTAGCTAAGAACAGCCTACCTAGCCCACTGCATTGTAACCAGTCAATAGCCAGGGAGTCAGAACTATACATACCCTGCCTCCCCTAAAATGAGACTTAACCGGAAAATAAGTCCTAGCATGATTTTTCAGGATACTCGTAATATAAGGCCCACCCTAAAAATAAGCCCCAGTAAAGATCACCAGCCAGATGGGCGCATTTACCAGTAGTACATCCATTGCAACACATGGCATATGTATTGAATTATCAAATAATTATATTAATATATAATTAAATATAAATAAATAATAATATTGAAATAATATTATGACAATGTTCCAGAAGAAAATGACATGACTGTATTTGAATAAATAGGAGCCCCCGGGGGCGCAGTGGGTTAAACCCCTGTGCTGGCAGGACTGAAGACCGACAGGTCGCAGGTTCGAATCCGGGGAGAGGCAGATGAGCTCTCTCTATCAGCTCCGGCTCCTCATGCGGGGATATGAGAAAAGCCTCCCAAAAAGATGATAAAAACATCAAAATCATCCGGGCATCCCCTGGGCAACGTCCTTGCAGATGGCCAGTTCTCTCACACCAAAAGTAACTTCTGACACGACCAAATTTTTTTTTGGATAAATATAGATTTTTGTACATGAATCAGTGTAGATGGTTGTACATGAAAAAATAAGATACCTCCTGAAAGTAAGTCCTAATGCATCTTTTGGAGCAAAGATTAATGTAAGACCCGGTCTTATTTTCAGGGAAATGTGGTAGCAGTCCCTGGTATTGATGCACACTAGCATGATGGTGCAGTCTTAGCAGACGTAAAGCAGCAAAAAGTCAAAATGTGATGTATCTTTAGAACAGAGCTCCTAAAATTATTAACTATAAGCACTTGGCTTCTTAAAAACTCATTCTTACTGTAGCATCAGCTTTTGTAGACTAGGATCCAGGATGCATTGTGCTATAATAAGCCCATTTTTAAGCCTCCAACAGAACTTTATTGATTTTTGCTGCAAAAGACTCTGATAAACATTAGTTGAGCTCTGAAGAAGTTACTCTTTTGGATCGCAACTCCTAAGGACTCCCCACTATAGCCTACTGCTGAGGTTATATGTTTAATATGTAAAAATAGTCTTTCCAAGTTATGCATGTTAATAACATGTAAAAAATAGTGTTTGGTATTTTTCATCTTTCTTAGTCCTTTTGGATCTCAAAATAGGGCACATGTTTATTTTTTACTGAATCTTCACATATAGCTTTGTCGTCCTCTAAGGAAAAGTATTTTTGTTCTTGGTAGCTATAATCATGAGGAATTCTCCTAGATAAATTGTGGCAATATCAATGTTGACATCTATCCGTGTTGGGTTTTAAAACCCTCCATTGTACTCATAGCCATGATTCTGTCAATGCCAGCCTCTGTCCTTTATTAGTCTTTATTTATCCCCGCCTTTTCACCTAGAAATGAGGCGCGTCCTTGCAACTTTATCATTTTTGGCCTTCTAGCAATCTTTCCTCCTTTTCCTTGCTCTGTTTTTTTCTAGTCCAGTTCTTGGGAAGAGTATAGGATCTTGCTATTCAGTTTAGCGTATGAATAGATTTTTAATTGGTTTTAATGGTTTACTTTTAATGCTGTTAATATTTAATCCTATTGTAATGTTAGTATATTTTTAGGTTTTGAGTTGTATTGTATTGGTTTTTCTGTAAGCTGCTTTGAGTCTCTTTTTTTAGAGAGAAAAAGTGGGGTATAAAATAAATAAATGAATAAATATTTTTAAAATCACTGTGACGTTAATCAGATTTATAATAATTTCTTCAGCACATGGATGTTTTGGGAGACAACTTTGAGATCCAGCTTTTATTTATTTATTTTGTATCAAAAGCATTGCATACATAAGTATAAAAGTGATAGAAATAGAAGGAGCACAAGCGCCTAAATAATTTTTGACCAAAACCCGGCAACAGCGACCGCATTGTATGTAGCTTTAAACAATTCTTCCTCTGTACATGAGGTAGGGCATTGTGGGCAAGCATACAGGTTCTGAGTTGTTTGTTCTGCTCCGCAGTTGCACAAGGTGGAGGATTCTTTTAGGTAGTGCCATTTTGCCAGATTGCCTTTTGGTCTGCCCAGTCCACTGTTCAGGGACTTTCAAGGTGACCATTCTTGGTTTGCCCCGGAGGAAACCCTCGTGGGGGACCATCCAATTGGGATTTCCTGGTTTAGCTGTCCAGAGGGATCCCCTGAGATCCAGCTAATGAAGTTAATGCTTCCAATGAGGCAGACTGAGTTCATAAAAGCATATGCTAGAAATTTATTCTTCCTAGCTAGCCTCAATGTAGCTTATGGACTCATTTCTGCCTTCTTATAGCTAATAGTTAATGAAGGATCTTGGGAACTGAGATCCCAAGCATCTGGATGCTATGTTAACAGGTTAAAGAAGGGTCACATAGACACTGCCTTTTCATCACAAGCCATGTGTGCTTGATCTCTCCTTGTCCTTCTTTTGGGTTTGTTTTGTAAACACCTGTGTTGTGTTGCTAGCTTCTTTCCACCACAAGAGGTCCCTGGGATGCCTTTCATTCAAGGCAATGCTGCTTAAGAATTGCCTTTCCCTTTTTTTTCCTATCAAGCCCATTATTTTTTGCAAGGTCATAATATAAAACCAGAATATCAAGAGATTACTTTTTAAATGGATGGTATTCTGTCTGAATTATATATGGTAGAACCAGACTTAAATCATATTTAGAGTAACCACATTATAATAATTAGGGCTTAACTTATTTATGACATAAAAGTGGACAAAGTGTGCCACCCAGAGATGGTTGGACTGCAACTCCAAGTGCTTCCAATCAGTATTACCAATATTAATGTTTCACCAGTTTTCATGGTCACAGGCCATGCCGCTTAGGGAATTGTGGGTGTTGTGTAAAAAATCCTATAAAGCCTTCAAGTTCTATGTAAGACTGTACACAACCATTGTTTTCTAGACTCCTTAGCCAGGTATTGGATGAAATGTTTTTGAGCTGAATTTGTTTAAAAAAATATCCTACATACTGCTTAGCTTGAAATGATCTCTCTGCCTTACATTTTCCTGCCTCCCTTTTACATTTTGGATGCACTTGGTTCTCTGTAATTACTAGTTTTAATGTTTTTTCATTCACAGTGGGTTGAACCATTTTTGTTTGTTATCTTGTTACTTCACTCAGTTCAGGGAATGCTTACCTAAAATACATTATGGTATTGTATTCACATATATGACAATGGAAGCCTAAAAGGCTATACATAAATAGGAGTGTAAGAACATTATTACAAGAGGAAGGTGCCATATTGGATAGTTTTTGCATTCTTGGCTTCCTTGATTCACCATGTTCTCATTTGGGCCGTCTAGTAAAAGTGTCTGTGCAGTTTCTGTGCAGCAGGAGTAAGGAACTCTGGACATTTTAGATTACAACTCCCATCCCCATCAGCAGATCAAGATTGTTTTGAATACATTCAGTATTCTGTAAGCTAAATTATACTTCCTTCTTTATGGCATCTAATTAGATTAGCATCCCTTCTAGTATGTTGACCAAGCCGTTCATAAAAATTGTAATCAGCCCAGTGCCTAGAATTGAATCCACATGGAATTCCTCCTAAAATGGTCCTCCAGTTTGAAACAGAGCCATGTATGAGCAACTGGATATATTTATTCAACCACTTTCAGATATATGTATCAACAGTACCATCTAATTCACTATGTACTATCTAATCCATAAATACATTTAATGCCTATGGGACTCTAATGAATTCCCATAATAATATATTTAAGATGCTTGGGTATATAAAACAACGTAGCTGTGGCTCCATGTTGACCAAGTTATTGACTCTTCTCTTATACATAAATTCAGTAAACTTTCAAATTAGATTTGGCAGGCAGTAGTTCCGAGTAACACTATATCTTCTTTAAACCAGGGAGCAAGGGGCTTTTTGGTCTGCTAAGGTGGTGATTTTTCATTGTTATTTCTCTATATCAGGGTAGGCAAAGTGCATCCTGTGGGACATGTGTTCCCCCAGTGTTATTTTTGCAACTCATAGGTCATCCCCCCCCCCTCAAAATAATTCCAAAAAAAATCGTTTTGCTCTCCTGTTGACCACACATTTGGAATCCCCTCCCCGGGAGATAAAAACGTTTCTTGCCTCAAAATGAATTACGGAGACCCACATGTTCCCTAAAGGGCTTTCGGGGGCAAAATATTTTTGATTTTGGGGGGGACTTCAATTCTCACAAGTGATTGTTAGCATGGCCAATGAGAAGGCATTGGAGGATTTGTATTCCAGAGTGTCTGGAGGACCAAAGGTTCCTTTCCCAGGGTTTAAGACAAAAGCCCATTGACTTTCTTCATATTTATTGCTCTGCAGTGGAAGGATGGGCTGAAGGAACAGCCACAGCTGCACAAGTGCCCCGATCCAAAAGGGCCGATGTTGGAGATGCATTTCGTCCAGACTTGGAAACGGTACCAATGCATGGTGAACCCAAACGAAAAGAGAAATCAACTGACACTGAAGAGGACCAGATAAATGAAGAACCTCTGCGTGAACTGAGCACCAAGACAACCCAATTCCCGTCGGGTGTGGGTGAATTTCTAGACAAGGCTGGGGATGAAAAGGGAGCTGGACTTGCCTATGTCCCTGCTGATCCAGCCCAGCTAGCTGCACAGATGCTAGGTAACGTTGAAACTGTTAGTTCTGAACCTGAATTGAAGGATGTGGCAATTTCAGTGCAGACCCTTCCTACATCATCTCACAATTCAGAGAATAATGTAGCTCCTGAAGCACTTGCAGAACCTGCACCAGCAGAGCCTGCATCTGCCCCTGAGCCCGAATTCGAACCTGAACCCGAACCCATTTCTGAACCTGAACCCGAACCTGAACCTGAGCCCGAACCTGAACCTGAACCCGAGCTTGAGCTTGAGCCTGAGCCTGAGCCTGAACCCGAACCTGAACCCGAACCCGAACCTGCCCCGGTAGAAGCAGCTTTTGAAGAAGAAGCACCTTTCCCAGCAGAAGGAGAAGCAGAACTTGCCCCAGCCGAAATGGCACCCGTGGGTTCAGCGCGCTCTCTCAGGGCTGAGTCAGCCACTCAGAGTCATTCCTCCGTCCCTGGGGAAGTAGCTTTCTCAGGCAGTCAGGCTGAGCAACCACCTGCTGACGCTGACGCAGTAGATCCTGATGCCCCAGACCCCTTTTTAGAAGAACAGCCACCCCCGCCAGCACCACCACCTCCTCCCGATAAAGACCCATTGAAAGCTGATACTTGTTCGAGCGAAATTGAGCTCACATCCGATATACATCTTACACCCATGTGCGATGATGACCCTGAGGCTGGTGGAGAGCCCCTACCACCGCCTTATGTAGAACAGTTTCCACAGCAGATAGTCATTCCCTTCGTAGACACGGTAGCATGTCTCTTAGATCCTCTAACAGCTAAACTAAATGCAGGCCAGTTGTCTAGCATTCTAGATCCATCTGCAGATGATGCAGAATGTGACCCTAACAGGATGGATACTCCAGAGCAACTGAAATCAGCTGACCCAGGTTTAATTATGTCAGGTAAGAAAGTTGAGCTCTTTCTGTTTTAGTAATACTGTAGCTCTGTAAGTAGCAAACTGCTCCATCTCCTCAAATGTGCTTGCACTGGTGCTAGTCTTGCTAAAACCAGTAGGACTTGTACTAGAAAAGTATCTTGAGGACTGGAGCTTTGCGCCTAAGACCAATGTTAATCCCAGCTAGAGGAGACTTGCTCAAAAGAACAGGACTTATGAATCTAAGTAAATCTGTCATTTCAGTGAATCTACTCTTGTTGGGATCAGCATTGGACTTAGTCCTTAAGTGTTTAAATGCAAATACTCATGTCAGTACATGGCTGAGGCAAATAAGGGGAGGTACAGGTCCCACTCCACTTGCCTCAATGGGATGTGCACATAAGGAATTTTTGCTTCCAGTTGTGTAGTTGACTGTGAGTAAGCCTCATAACTTTACATTGCAGGAGTATTGTCTGTCCCTATCACAAGTCTTGTATTATTATCTGCAAATAGATCGAATAGGGCAACACTCAGCAAACAAGTTCTGGGGCAAATAAAGTAACATTTTTTGGTCTCCGTTTAAACCAGTGTCTTTCAACCTTTGTTTTTCCAGGGGTTTTAGACTTCAATTTCCAAGAGACCCAGCAGCATGGCAGATGGCCAAGGATTCTGGGAGTTGAAGTGTAAAAGTCAAAGGTTGAGAAACACTGCTTTAAACCTTTCTCACAGTACACTATACTTCTTGAACCAAATTTCTCTATGTGTTCATAGCAACTAAGGGTAAGTGATGTGGTGACTGTAGCTTTTTTTTTTTTAAAATCAAACATTTGAACCACAGGTGAGGAGTGGGTAGCCTTCCAGATACTGTTGAAGTACAACTCCCACCAGCTCTCACTGTTGTCTCTTCTCACTAGAGATGATGGAGTTGTGATCCAACAGCAGCTGGAAGATCACCAATTCCCCACTTCTGAGAAGGATTCTTAGCCGTGACACTAATGTAGGTATTTGCATTTAAAACAAATGGTGGTGGTTGCCTGGCTGTCCCATTAGGTCCCTCCTTCTCCAGCTCATCTACAGGGAATGGACTAATGCTGGAGGCCTGGTTTTCATTTTGCAATATGGCCTCTTCAATTTATGTCACTTTTTAAATAGCAAGTGAATTGTTCACCCCTGTTCTCAGCTGGAGAAGGTCTCCTAACTGCATTTTCCCCAATGACCTGGCCTGATTCTTCCCTAGGATCGTATACTTCCCCCAGATTCAGTCATATCCTGTTAGGGAAGTAGGTAGGTGAAGTATAAAGGCATGTTACAGAAGAAAGAATGCTGAAGGGCAGAGAAAGGCTGGCATGGCTGGAGAGGAGAAACAATGGTGTTGCAGCAGAAGTAAGACGTGCAATTGACACATATTTTCCACATCTGTTTTTTGGAGCACTTGGAACTGTAAATAAATAAGATATATACTCAACTGAAGAGAAAACATGTCTTTGACAATTTATTTCGGTTTCCATCGAGTGACCGCTAGGAAATGAAATAAGCTTGAGCCACCCTGTAAAATCAACAGAAAAGCCTCTTTTGCTCTTAATGCAAGTTCTGTTGCTATCAGCAACAATTGTTGCTGTTCCTACATTTCAGCCATGCCAAAGTCTCTGTTCTTCAGGGACTCTCTCCTCTCTGTAACATGTGTCCTCTTGCGGCATAGAGTTACGTGTAAAGATATACAATATGACTGCAGTTCATGCATCCTAGTAGATGGACTTTCATGCCAGCAAATTTTCTTTCAAATTTTTATTTTATAGCCATGGCAACAAGCGAACCAGGACAGCCACCACCATATTCTAATGTGTGGACTCTCTATTGTCTAACTGATTTGAACGAACAAGGTCGTAAGTCACCACCACTTCAACCACCCCTTCCACCTGTTGGAACTGGTGCGCCTGTTCCCCAGGCAACCCTATTCATATCTAGTGGTAAAGACCAACCGCAGTATCTACAGCCGCAGATGATACAGCAAGGCCATCCACCACAAGTGTCCTCTCCAACTTATGTGATGATGGAAGATGGGAAGAAGGGAAGTGCACCACCTTTCATTTTAGTGGGCTCTTCTGTTCAGAATAAACAGGACTGGAAACCTCTCCCTGGCCACACTGTCCTCACACAGCCAGATGCTGCTGGTAATGTGAGGAGGTTCGCTACCATCCCTGTGCCAGTCGCCAGGCCAGCAGATCCGAAAGTGGCCAACCCCAATTTTAACTCGACACAGGATAGCGGCAGGCCTCCAACACCAGTTTTTCTTTCAGTTGCCATACCACTGGAAGATGTGATGGCTGGGAAGAAGGGCTCTGGCGCTGGGGATAAAGCACCCTTTGCGGGCAGTTATGGGATAGCAGGAGAAATCACATTTACTACTGCTTCAGTACGCAGGACAGAATAGAGTAAAGGTAAGTCCAGAAACAAGTTAATGACCTTGATGAAGAGGTAAGCAGCTGTGACTGTGAGTAACAAATAGGGGCAGTTTACTGAGCTGATTTAGGTACTCAAATGTAAACGGGATCATACATGTCCCTTAAGATGTTGGGCTGTAATTTCCATCACAGGAATGATGGGAGGTGTGGTTCATGTACATCTGGGAAATTGCATGCTCCTTTATGCTATTTTAAATTCAAAGTTATTTTATAATGGGCCATATTCTTGATCATTTGCAACAGGCGCTCTAGAGATAGAATGATTTTCAGGATTTTTCTCATGGGAAGCACCCAAAGTTTTTTTTAAAACAGTCGTGTGTTTCAAAAGACAATTGGTGTGAAAGTTACTAATAGGAAAGGTGCCTCTGTGGCAAGCGTGTTATTTTTGTAGTATTGTGCTCCTGGGAGTTGAGAACTCTACATCTATAGAGTGGCTATGGGTTGTGCTTGTTTTATATTTTAAAGCTAGCAAGCTGTTCATGATATGAGACTAAAATACTGCTGATGCAATTTAGAAATAGATTTCTGGCTTATGCAATCCACTTTATTATGATTTTAATTATTATTATATGTTCTCATGCATACTTCAGCCATATGTAAAAATCAAAGACAGCTTTTGGGGCCGAAATTAGGGATTTCTCCGTATCCCATGGGTTGAGGAAAATATTTAAGGGCACGTAACAAATAGTTTCCTCTTCTTCTAAAAATACATAGAGAAAACATACTAAGGAAGAGCTCAAGAGAAGCAGTGGAACTGTTTATTTGAAGAATTACAATGGGGGTTTAAATTGCCAATCTTAAAATGTCTGTGTCTATAGACACCCAGGTAGGGAAATGAATATAAATGAGGAAAATGAATGAGAATGCAGCCTGAAATAAAGGATGTGTGTGAGAAAACCAGGGAAAGTAACCTGCCTCTATTAGTGACCCAGTGCGAAGGCAGTCTCAAGAGGCAGAAGCAAAAAGTATCATTACTCCTTTCTTGTCCATCTTTGAGAAAGGAGGCAGCACTCTCTCTTTTCTCGCCTTTTTTGGCCTTAATGGTGTCCAGCATCAATATGAGGGAGCCCCAAAAAAGCAAAATGCTCACCATTTTTGGAGCCCAAGATGGAGCAGAAAAGTGGCCATTTTTAATCAGAGCTTAATACATAAGCTTTTCTGTAGAGAGATTGTGGCAGGCATTTTTAATAAGAGGCAGAGAGGCTTTTTAGTAATCTCTGACCGAAAGTGGTCATTGCCCCTCTGCTGCATTCTTTGGTTTTCCCTACATTGCTTCTGAAAGTGAACATGAGAAAGGAGAGAGCACTGCCTTGCCTCCGTCCAGTTTGGACAAAGGAGTGGGTGCAGTTTCCTTGCCCCACCACGTCAAGAGGGGCTTCTTCCCCGATCCTCTTGTTCCTCCCTTTGCACTGGTTCCCTATCCCAGCACTGACCTGTGCATACATCAATCCAGGTTTTGGGGGGGGTTGCATTTTTCAGAAAAAGTTTTTGAGTTATACATGAGTAAATATGGTAGATTGCTGAGATTTCTCAAATAGTTTTCGAGCCCAGAAATTTGTTCTGACGACTCAAACAGATCACAGTCCCTCCATACAGAAATTCCTTGCTTGTTATCCCAAGTTTTATTCATTTCAGCAGTATTATTCAGGTGTGGGTGGATGGGGTTAATTCTTCATTTTTTTTACTGCTATTGTTAACAACTAAAAGAGGTTTTTGTCAATCTACTCCTACCATCCAGAGATCTATCACTAGATAATAATGCATTGTTTGCCTTTAATTCAGAACAAAAATCCTACCAATTTTAATAGGATGCGTTCCTAGATTTTGGCTCTAGTCCAATGGTATGTGCTTACTCTCTTTGTGATCCTGTTTTGTTCTGCATGTTGCTTGAAGAACTTCAGCTACAAAATGCTTCACAGATGAAATTAAGTATAAAAGAAAAAATGGTTGAGGCTGCAGTGTTATATCTTGTTATCAAGGATACGTCTCATTGAACCCAAGAAAGATTTATCTCTCTGAAATTGCAATATCCATTTATCCTATACATTGGCTGTTTGGCAGGGAACTTAATTCATACTCAATCCACCCCCTCCTCCCATAAGAAACCCCATCCTCTCTAGCATTTTAGCTTTCTAACAAGTGTTTGGTGCACTGAGAAAATAATTTTGCATTTGACATTTATTGATGACTAGGACTCTTGAAATTTCTCATCTGTAGGGTTGCTGTTAGTCAAAGTCAACTTGATGGACAACAGCCAGCACATAGCTTATACATACTTCCCCACTCTGTTAGGCAATCTTATGGTGAAACCTACAAAAATTACTATCCTGCAAGAATTACTTGTACAAAACTCCAAGCACTCATTCCCATGAAGTTCATTGTAGGTTACATATACAAAACGAGTGAACAGATGAGCTTAACTTTGCTGTTGTTACCTGCCACGAAGTTGACTTTGATTTATGGAGACCCTATTATTGAGAGCCCTTCAATTCCATCTATCATCAACAGCTCCACTCAGGTCTTGCAGACTCAGAAATATAATTTCCCTGAATCCATCCAATGTAATGCAGTCTTCTTCTTTTTCTGTGCTCTAGCATTATTATCTTTTCTTATGAATCATGTCTTCTCATGATATGGCCAAAGTCTGACTGTCTCTGTTTCATCATCCTGTTTTCTTGGAAATGTTCAGGCTTGATTTGCTCCAGGACTCATTTTTTTTAGCAGTCCATGATATCCATAGAACTCTTTTCTAGCACCACATCTGAAATAAATTCATTTTTTTCCTGTAACTTTCTTCATTGCCCAGCTTTCACAACGATACCTGTAAGTCAGAAACCCTATATCACTTACAATCCTAAATTTACTCTGTAATATTATATATTTAACTTCAAAACTTTGGTTTAATTCCTTCATATCTTTCCTCCCAAGTCCTAGTTTTGATTTCTTGATTGCAGCCTTCATTTTGATTAATGACTTAGCCAAAGGATGAAAAAACATAATCTTCATCATCTATTTTAGAGTTGTATAAACCATCTGTGGTCATTATTTTTTTAATGTTCTGCTGTAAACCTGCCTTGGTATTTTCTTCCTTGACTTTCTTCATTCCAAGTCTTTTCTGTGTTCATCTGCATATCATAAATTGATTTTCCTTCTTCCAATTTTCATGCCTTCTTCCACTGAGTCTTAATTCAGCTTTACGTAGGTCTTCTACATATAAATGAAACAGGATGACAAAATGTTGCCTTGTCTGACTCCCTAGCCATTTGGAAATCCTTCAGTTGGTCTGTAACCTGATTATGTTGTTTGACTTCCCTGAAGTCTTACTGATTTTAATTGGTGAGACATTACATTACATCCTTTACATGCTTTTTCTATTTCTCTCATTATCAACACCATTTAATTTCTTCTTAGATTTTCAATTCCTGAGTAAAATATGATACGGTGTTATTATCTGATTCAAAATGTCCCACTTTTGTCCCTTTTAGCTCACTTACCTCAAATATTTTAATGTGTATACGTTCAGTTACTGGTATTTTATATGTCTATCTTTCACTGATTCATTCATTCTTGTAACATTCCATGTTCCTATGTGTTGTGCAGCTTCAGATTTAAACTGCTGAGCACATCAACAGCTAAACTTCCTTTCGGCTTGAGTCCAGTTGCTTCACTAGCTTCAGTGCTACTCATGGTTGTCCTCTGCTGTGCCATGACTTAGGAATTTCATGTTTTGACACTCTATTATATTTTATTTTGGATAGTCTCATCATAAGCTTTTCATGGTAAAAGATCTTTAAAAAAGAATTGCAATGCTTCTTTCTGTGTAGTATTACCAAGCATTAGCTGTGGTGTCTTTGTTGTTATCTGAGAGATCTGTGCTGCCCAGTAACTATTTGGCACATTGAGTTTGATCTTCAGCAAATTTCTGTCTGAAATGGGAGACCCTAGCAGCACTGTTGCAGTCAACATGGCTTCTTGACTTGTGGAGGAGCACACAATCCCACCACCACTGGAAAGTACTGCCAAATGGTGGGTATCTTAACCATAAGATGACATATAACTTCTGTGTGCATCCATCTGTTTCCAAGTATATAAAATTCCTAGCTGAGGTATTTATTATTATAATTATAATTATAATTATTATAATTATTATTCTTTATATATATCCTGCTTTTCTACCTCACAGGACCCAAAGTGGCTTACAACATATTAAAATCATGTAAACAACATTCCAAATACATAGATAATAAGTACGCATATTGCCAACTCTTTGCCCCTGTAATATTGTCAACAACTACTTTCATGAACGCTTGTTGACCATTCTAATTCGGAGTTATTGAAAACAGCTGGAGAACACCAACTTGTTTACACCAATCTTAGCTGGAGTAGCCTGAAACTGTTTAAAAATGGCATTTAAAACTTAATTGTTTTGGCTTTAATAACTCTTGTGTCAGTGACATAGTGGTGGATTCTTTTGACAGAGCCCTGTATAACTAGTAGATAATTATGGTACTACATAGTGGATGTGAGTCAGAATCTCTCCCCCCCCCCACCCCCCATGCTTGTATTAGTAAGCAGCAGTCACTGAGGTCCAAGGGGATCTGTTCTCCTGTCAGTGGAGAGACAATTGCCAAACATTCCCACCATCCATAAATGATCTCTAATGCAACTGGCAGAAAAAGGACCTGTTGCAAATTCACCTTATGCTCTGGAATTGAGCAGCCACATCTCAATCAACAAGGGAATGGATTCCCATCAATTCCAGTGGCTGCTTACTGGTAAGTAGGGTTTGGGACACTTTCACAGTCTCTAAGGGCTTGTAACTGTATGCCATTTATTCGCAATTTCCCAATAGGATTCCAGCTGGCATTCCTAAAAGATGAGAAGTATTTAATAATGGCTGAAGATGTTCCAATGATTTATTTTAGAGCAGAGTTGGTCTCTGAGAGGCAGATTTCAGTTCTACACATCTTCCTAGACCTTTTGGCACTGACTTCTTTGGTTTGCATTGCCCAAGAATACTGTGGGTTAGAATTACAATGAAGAGGCACAGAATTTTAATATTGTAATATTAATGGATAGGTACTTTAGAACAGATTCGTATTTCTTGCTGCCAGTGAAAGATAAAAGTAGAAGATTTTTAAAAAACTTAAACTTGGGCATACTTTTTAGAGTTCCTAAGAATTGTAGCTAAATTCTATGCTGAAGCCAGTCAATGGAAACTAATGTTAACAAGCTGTAAAATCTTGCCTGGGCTGTATTAACAAATCCTATCTAATTTGCTTGTGTACATTTCAAAGTTCTCTCCTCTCGCTTCATTATTTTTATATAAAAATGCTTCCCCTAAAGCTGGTATGCATCCGCTCTCTCTTCAGCTCGGGGTGGGAGTCTACTCATAGTTGGAAATACGGTATTTGCCACAAAAAGTTTTCTTACATTTAATTATGTAACATTCAGGAAGCTTTATTTCAGGATACCTTTAAAAATGCTTTAATGCAGGGGTGAGAATTCTGTGGCTCTCCAGATGTTGGATTCTATTTCCATTCAGTCCCAGCAACAAAGATAGGAAATGTGATCCAATATAATCTGTGAGGGAGGTAAAGGTTCTTTGCTCCTATTTAAAATGGGTTATATCATCGTGCATTAATCTTCTGTTGTGTTACTTCACTTTTTGATGCTAAAAAGTGCTGCTGTGTTACTTCACTTTTTAATGTTGTGACATCTAAGTCTGAGGTAGCACTTGAGTATTGGATGCACAATTGGAAACTCCAACTACATCATAGGTGACATGTTTTTCAAATTGGGAGGCGACTGCCCAATTGCTAAATTGGCAGTGCTAAGGCAGTAGAGAAAATAATATACAGTATGAACAATCCATCGGAAAACTGCTGTCAGGTTAGATAGCACTGGTCTTTCTCCTGCCCTGGACATTCCACAGATACATTTGCCTTGTTTCCAACAAACCTCACAACCTCTAAGGATACCTGACATAGGATGTGGGTGAAACATCAGGAGAGAATGCTTCTGGAACATGGCCATACAGCCCGGAAAACTCACAGCAACCCACTGGGCTAGATAGTTCGATGCAGAACACAGTGGGTTTCTATATTCTTTTGCAAGGGGTGGATCACATGAGAGAAACCTGTATTTGTTATTATAAGTCATAAATGGGATTCATACAGGCATTTCCAGCCTAGTGTGGGCCAATATAATATCCCTGCTCATTGGTTACAAAGATTTCTTTGCTGCCTGCAAACTTGAAAGGGACTGGAACAATTTCTAATGGCTTTGGGACTGGCCCTGGTCCATTCTGTGTAGCACTTGTCTATATTCTGGGACTTAGCAGCCATTTTCCAGGTGTATCTGCTCTGAGTACCCTCGGGGAGCTAGGGTGGAATACAAATAAAGTATTGTTGTTAATAATAATAATAATAATAATAATAATAATATCATCATCCATTTCTGGATTGCTGCACAGTTCCCACCACTATTTTCAAGGATGAAATTGCCTTTCACAGAGTTGCTTTTTTTCCCTTCCCAGATTGAGAAGAAGTGCTGCTGCCCAACATTTCACCCCAGAATGGAAACCTGCATCTTTAATTAAAATATTAACTAGTACAAGCAAATAAAACAATGCAAGTGATCTGAATCTAAGAGTTTCATTTGTGTGATTTTGATTTATAGACCATGGGATTAGTAGCCAAGTAGTAGAGAACCAAAATCAGGATGACTTCTTAATTTGACTAGATACAGTCCTCAATTTTAAGATACCCTACATCCACTAAATTGTAAGCCTTGTGGCTTATACACACAAACAGAATGCACTAGGAGACAAACACCCATTGTGACAGAAAAAGCTGAATACAATTTAACCATTCTCTTATAATGTATTAACTTGCAGGCAGGAGAAAAAAAACCCAATAGGCTGCTCAAAGCAGCCTTTCTGCTTGGGGATGATAAGAGCTGTAGCTTAATACACCTGGAGGACACCAGGTTGAAGAAGCTACACAGTTGTGAGACCTCCGCCTGAGGACAAGCAGTGAAATGCCATCAGCCACAAGACAGTTTAAAGCCTTTATTTAATAGCAATTAAATAATTCACTATACTTCCAAACAGCAATTAATTTAATACAGTACAAGAGCATCAGGCCCTCTAGAATTTATGTACTCCATTTTATACAAATATATAATCCCATACATTTTAATGCACCCCAAACAAAGGGGCAAATTCCACTGTGTACAATAGTCGCAGAGCTGTCTTACTGGCTTTAAAATGCACACACATCTCTTTTTTTTGGGGGGGGGGGGGTGCTTCTGACTGCAAATGCCCAGGTACATTTGACGTATCCTTTCCTTTTGCTGAAGATCATCCAACCTCCCTCGCTTCTGATAATGTTGAGCACCTCTCAAGTGCATTGCAGATTTTTAAAAAAATACTTCCGTCTCAGTTCAAATCAAAGTTTCAAAGATCTAAATGGCTCTTACTTCCTTAAAGATATGAGCATGGTAGTAATGAAATGTCAAAAGAGAAATGTTAAAACACTGCACTAAACATGGAATCGTCACTGCTGAGTAAGCTTGTCTGCTAGTCCTATGTAGTATCTGTTGATAGATAGGGGAATACACTAGTGCAATGACAGTAACTTTATTTTGTACTCGCTATCCGTAATCCAGTATTTTATGAAGTAATGAAACATCCCTTCCGAAAGGTAATTCTTCTCAAGAAGTGGCATGCCCTTCTCTGGCTTTAAGCCATAGTAGTATTGCATTTCAGGAGTGTGCTTTTGATATTTCTGTCTCGTCAAAGGTCTTGTGTTTCCATTATGCCAGCATAGCTATCACTGACCAAAAAGAGACAGAAAACCCAAAGGTGCCCTCTTTTCCATTTGACCTAGAGCTGAGTATTAGATGCATCAGCTTCTTCAGCAAATATAGGCAGCACCTTCTCTCTCCCTTACGAATAACAGTAACATGTATACGTATGCATAGTATAATTATATAGGGAGTATGACAAAAACTCCCCCAACAACAATCTTCTGCTACCATAGTTGCTGCAGAAGCTGCATAATAGTACATTCAAGTTAAAACTTGTCAGTTTTTTTTCTAGGAGCATAGGAACAAAGGAAAACACTGAAAACTGATTAAGACTTATTTGTGTTAGCCTCAAACTTTCCAATGTAATTTAATAAATGTCAGGCAAGTTAAAGTAGTTCCTGTCCCAGTAGTTCCCAGTATAAATCCAGTCTTGTGCACCAGTGTAGGGATTAGGACCTTGATGGAACCACCTGAAATGGAAAAAGGAGGATGTCTTAATTATGAAAAAAATACATATATATCTCATTCAATAAATATTTCAGATGCTTTATGTTCTAGAAACACTGGTCATTAGAGTCAATGTATCTATGTCATCCCTGTATTCCTACAGATCCTCCTACTTATTACTTTGATCCAACTGAGACAAACTGCAAAGAGAGTAGTTTTATAATGCTGTAAATGTAAGGAAAAATAAACAAGAGAGGGGATAATGGTAAAAAATTGAAATGTCTTATATTGAGGAAACATGTAATCTATGCCACTACATAAACTGTGGGTCCCGACCCCAAATAGGTTTCCATTAGCTCAATGTTGCCGTCCCAAAAAAATTGGCAACAAAAAACGTTTTCTAAACACCACCTAGTGGCTGTTGTAGACATTTACATGAATGTGTTGTGCAGAGTTTACAGTGGACTCTGCAAAAGATGCTCCAGCTATATTTCATAAAAAAGAAAAATCAGCCCATTTATAGCAAGCCTCATAAATGCTGGTTTATTACCAGCGATGTTTCAATTTTTATACCTGTTTTATATACCTACATACCTGGGGCATGTAACATATTTTCAGGCTGAAAGGGGTTGTGAATGGAAAAATTTAAGAAGCCCTGCTCTAGGCAAAGATAAGGGTCATTTTCATCAAATTAGTCTTTCTTTAGGCCCAGTATTGGCCTAAAAAACTAAACAATATCGAATGTGAGTCCCACTTATTCCTGTTGTTAAAAGAGGCCCAGAGGATGAAGATAAAAATATGCCAACCATGTCCTTTATGCCTCAAACAGAGTGTTTTGGAGGGGGTTATGTCTCTTCAAGCTCTTGGGGTGACTAAGGTGACTCTCTAACCTCCCACGGTGCCCACCTCTGCTTTATTAGACATTTACATGAATGTGTTGTGCAGAGTTTACATGAATGTGTTGTGCATGTGTTGTGCACCACTGTCTAACATGACAGCCTTCTTTTCACATTTATGTCTATTGGTCCTGAAAGCTGGGCAGCTGCCTGGAGATGCTGGTGAGGTACTGGTCTTCATTTCTATTTGGCATATTTATGACCCAAAATTTAGGACTTGGAACTTAATTAGGGTTCTTGCAAGTTAATAACCATATTGCCGGGGGGGGGGGGGTGAGGAGCAATGACAAGAAGGTGGTATGGTATGGCTATAAAGACAGTTAACATTCAGAAAACACAGCAGCAGACAGCATTATAACTAACACACTATAGCCATCTCCCAAATGAACATTAAAACATTTTGGACTATGTTTTCTAGTACGGTGTATGGAACCAAGAATGACCATGTTGCATCCTTGCCTCTCCCATACTCTGTGCTGGCTTTGGAGCTTTCATTCATATATCAAACCACAGTTCTCTGGCTTGGCCAAACCATGCCAGTAACCTTGGTTCCTCACTTCAGACATAACCAAGACTGAAGCATTATTTGTTTGGAAAGGGCAAGAGAGCTGTGCTTGGTTCCTGATTTATTTATATTCTGTCAGGAGTGGCTTGAGAAACTGCAAGTTGCTTCTGATGTGAGAGAACTTGCCATCTGCAAGGATGTTGCCCAGGGGATGCCTGGATGTTTTTACCATCCTTGTCGGAGGCTTCTCTCCTATCCCTGCATGGTGAGCTGTAGCTGACAGAGGGAGCTCAATCTGCTCTGCCCAAATTCGAACCTGTCAGTCAGCAGTCCTGCCGGCACAAGGGTTTAACCCATTGCGCCACTGGGGGGCTGCATTGGGTCCTGATGATCAATTGCAGCTACACACACCAAAGGGTTATGAATCCAGTTATTGACATATAGTATTAAGCCAAGAGAAAAGAGAGATTGGAAGAAGAATTCATGCTTACTACAATAGTCCAAGATTAATCACTGGATGCATTTCGTGCTTTATCATGCCTTCTGTTCGAGTTTACATCAAAATCTTATACAGGTATTTGTAATTTTATGTAGCAGAAAAATATCAAGCGAGAAATAACTACGCTCTGCAAAGCCACCTTTTCAACCAATGAAAGGGTTTCCGAAGTGCTCCAGACCGGGATGCTTATGGGGCATGCTGAGAAGAGGCAGCTGGAGAGACATCCTCCAGGGCTCCTGTGGAAGACTTGTTTCAATAGGTCCTCCACAATTAGGAGTGATTGAATTCCTCAGCACCACAATCTGTAGCACCTATGAAAACTTTCAGTTAGAGTTCTGCCGAGTTGAAAAGATAGATTTGTGAGGTCTAATTTGGTCATTGACAACCACAGAGATGAATCCCCAGCAATCCATCTCACAGTCTTGTAACTAAAAATTACAGCTAGTATCCTGTTCTGATGTTATTCCCCATCCTCTCGGTATACAACTGCACAGCCAGGCTTCAAAGATGCAATTTCACTTTTGCTTCTTGCAAAAAGATTTGGACTAATTCACATGGATTTACAATAGTCCCAAGTGATGATGATAATCTTGCCATATGAAAGTTCGTATTTCTTTCTTGACAGTACCTACCAATGGTTACTTTTTAAAACACAAAATTATCAAACTAGTAAGAAATACAAGCTTCTGGATGCATTGTCAGGTACTTCTCAAGAAACCTTGTACATTAACATGCAAATACCAGCGTTTCAAGAACTGCCATGAATCTCCATGCATAAAAAGGATCCCAAACGAGATAGTCATTTTATTCAGGTTGGGAAGAATAATAATTTTGATAAGGGCCAAATTTACAGCTGAGGCTGTCCCTTATTCTTATTTGTAAGCTTTAAATGCATATCTAAGCATGTCAAGAAAACAAGCAAAAAAGTATCAGAAAAGATCAAACCTGGGAGCCTGGGCCACTGGCTGACTTTTGGAAAAAATAAAAAACATAATGCAACTTACAGTGACACAGACATTTGAATAATCAAACCATGAGGGAAACAGTGAAGATGCTTGAAAGCTCCCTCCATTATGCATTTTATTTCCAATGACAACAACACTTAGAAGTGTGGAGAAAAACTATTAGGCAGGAATTGCTCATTAGCATGATAAAAAAAATTTTTTTTCCAAGCCAAGAGCCAGAGAAAAGCTCTGAAAATGCCTGATTCTTTATCTGCAGCTGTTTGTTCCAAGTGGAAATGCATTTTGTCACCAGATCAGGCAGCAACTCAATAATGGCACCAGAAGCCTTTCACCCCAAATGCTTACCTATAATTAAGGCTGCAATTTTAAAAGCCAACCTTCCCATTTCTCCTAAGTTAACTAAAATATTTACTGTATGAATGCTACAAGCCACAAGTTTCTCTCTGAACGCTAAAAGCCACAGGTTTGTGCTGCAAAAAGCCATTTTCATATCACTGTCAATATAGCCTGAGACAGCAAAGCTCAGCATTAGTAAGCGTGTAAACCAAGGCATATTTATTAGCATTTAATGAAACTATAACATTAAATTTAGGAGTTAGAGCTACAGAACAAAAAGAGCTAGGTTATCTTCTTCTATGCCACAACTGTAATATAGGGTAAAGGTAAAGGTTTTCCCCTGACATTAAGTCCAGCCATGTCCGACTCGGGGTTGGTGCTCATCTCCATTTCTAAGCTGAAGAGCCAGCATTGTTCATAGACACCTCCAAGGTCATGTGGCTGGCATGATTGCATGGAGAGCCATTACCTTCCCACCGGAGTGGTACCTATTGATCTATTCACATTTGAATGTTTTCGAACTGCTAGATTGGCAGAAGCTGGAGCTAACGGGGAGCTCACGCTGCTCCCCGGATTCAAACCTGCAACCTTTCGATCAGCAAGCTCAGCAGCTCAGCGGTTTAACCCACTGAGCCACTGGGGGCTCCAACTGTAATATAATTCATTAATATATTTCTTGTTGAAAAGGGGAACTACAAGGAACTGCTTGTTTGTAAATAGTTACTCCCAAAATTCTAGATCAGTGGTTCCCAACCTTTTTTGACCAGGGACCACTTGACTAGGGACCACGCTCCATCATTAGTACCAAAAGGGTTACAAATCAGTTTTTGGCCAACTTTAGATTTGGTTTGGATATTTGACGTGCTGAGTCAGAAAACTGCATTGGATAGACCACATCAACACTAGTTTCTGACACACAACACATGCCATCCTGTAGTCACCATCTGCTTGCCCACAGAAAACCATATTTAATAAGCCGCAGAACTCTAAGAGGGTTTCAAGAGACCAGTTGCTCTCGTTGCAGCAGTGTAGTAATGGTGAGGCCACGGAGTATATTTTAGTTATTGTGGACCACTGGTGGTCCATGGGCCACAGGTTGGGAACCACTGCTCTAGATGATACTCAGTAAAGGTAATTTCTGCAGAAGGATGTTAAGAATCCTCACTTGAGGACCTTAAGAGTAAAGTGTTCAATTCTTACTCTATTTTTGCATTGCTAGGACCAATAACTATTGTTTGCGTATATCTGTGTGCAAACACAAAGACCTATGCTTTTAGTGCTAATGAGCGATAGCATCATACTGCAGACACCATGCAAAGACCAACATCCTCATTAATGTGGATCTCATATAGATAGATAGATAGATAGATAGATAGATAGATAGATAGATAGATAGATAGATAGATAGATAGATGACAGAAATAAAGGAGGGGATTGATGAAGTTTTATTTTCCCTGTCGGAATTCTTTAGTCTTATCAGCTTTTTCTCCAGGTTTACTATTTTTTTGTTCATGTTCATGTTCCATTTTGAGTAAGTCAGAACAGAGCACTAGAAGACATTGGGCTTGTTAAAACTTCAAAAACAAATGTTTTCAAAGCATTCTGCTAATACAAAGTTGAGCAATGAAACTATTGCTTGTTGGAATAATCCAGCAATTAAATCTTTCCTCCAGTTTAAATCTGGGAATCCATTCCATTCCTGTTCACACCAACACACTTGGCCTTTTGCCAGTGATGACAAAAGAAACCCAGAGCACAGACACTGCATTCATGGTGCCATGAATGTCAACAATGCTCCATTGTCTTATCCATTCCCTGATTTTTGTAAAAGCTTACTTATATCCCATTTTGAATGTTAACATGCAATACCCAAAGCGGCACCACATTTTATTTGACTTTGGCAATGTTTTCATGCATTTCCCTGTTCAAAAACTGGAAGTCTAATTGGTGCCTTTAGTCACCAAAGGCAAGAAGTAGGACTCCTTCAGGAAAGAAAGGTTTTGGCAAATGGCCTGTCTGTTCATCTATTCTATGTCATTGTTTCTGAAACACCTTAAAAGTTCTTCATTCGTAACAGTTTAAGGAAAAATTAATGTTTAATGCAAGGAACTGCTATGTGTTTGCTTTTGGAGCTGAGAAACCAACAGCCCAGAGTGTTATGACCCTGTGTTCAGTTCCTTTCTAAAAAAGGCAATTTTATCCTATTATGTTCTTTGTCCAACATTTTAGGGTTATTAGAATACAGTGACCTCCTGATTGCAACAGTTTAAAAAAAATCCTGCTAAACTGAATAATTCCATTCAAAGAACAATGTGGTCCTCTCTTCAATTTAAATTTATTCTGAGAATGAACACAAAGAACAAATCTGATCTAGCGGCTAAATGGTTTGTCGTGCATCTTGCCAAGCCCTCAAAATAGTTTAATGCAATTTGGAGTAAAAAATGTAAAAAAAATACATTAGTGTATGATGTGGGGTATATGTATTGGACATGCATAGGCACCACATTTTTAAAACAACAGGACCTTTGATTTCCATGAGGTACTTCATAGAAGTGTTACATGTAAGGTTTCGCCTTGACATTAAGTCTAGTCATGTCCGACTCTGGGGGAATGTACTCATCTCCATTTCTAAGTCAAAGAGCCAGCATTGTCTGTAGACACCTCCAAGGTCATGTGGCCAGCATGACTGAATGAAGCGCCATTACCTTCCCACAGAAGCAGTACCTGTTGATTTACTCACATTTGCATGTTTTTGAACTGCTATGTTGGTAGAAGCTGGGGCTAACAGCAGGAGCTGACCCCACTCCCCGGATTCGAACCACCAACCTTTCGGTCAGCAAGTTCAGCAGCTCAGCAGTGTAACCTGCAGCGCCACTGGGGGGTGGGGGTATCAGTTTAGATAATCATGTATCTAAACTGATACATGAGTATATATGATAGAAAAATCACAAGAAGAAATATGAAGGGTTACTTAGCATTAGATATCCAAGACAAATTGCACAATGCACGAAACAGAACTGAAGAGAGTGGCTGTTGATACTATTTATGCTGGTGCCCATAGCAGCAGGTTCCTGACAAAAGCTGCACAGGTCTGGAGCACTCCATGGATGGATGCGTGAAGAACAGACTGACTTACAACTATTAACTCTTTCACATCAAAATGGTGGAACTGTGGTTTTTAAAAAGCTCCTCTGACAGTCCAGGTACATAGTACCCAGGCAGTAAACCCAAAATTCCTCTATTATTATTAATATATCATCAATATAAAGGTGATGAAGCAAGGAACAGAGGTTTAAGGAAATGTAGAATAGTCTTACACAAACCTGTCAACCATTTTTACTGAAGGTATCTATCCCATATACTGACCTTGTTGTCCAGTCTTCCTCAGATTTAGACCTGTTTTTACGAGCCGCTCTTTGTTTTTCTTCAAGTCTTTTCTTTTCTTCACTGGCTACATCTATCAACAACAACAACAACAAAAACTGTGTCACATTCGAATACATTGCAGGCTACCTAAATAGCTGCAAGATCAAGATGCCAGTAACAGCAGTAGTTTTTAAAAACACTGGTACAAGCAAAACTGCAAGACTATAATTGGGTAGTAGATTGTTCCAGCTCAATATATAAAATATTGTATAGCCCAATCATGGGATTAAATAAATTATACTTATGACGTTGACAGTCATATCATAACTTGCAGCTTTTTCACACTTGCTCCTATAACATTACATTGAAAAAGCATATTTCTTTGCTGCCATCATATTCAGAACATATCCATGGGTTCTGGAAAGTCTGAATAAATATAATTTGATTGCACTATGGCTACAAAAACCAAACAAACTACTTATAGGGTTGCTCTGAGTTTTCCAGGCTGAATGGCCATGTTCCAGAAGCATTATCTCCTGACGTTTCGCCCACATCTATGGCAAGCATCCTCAGAGGTTGTGAGGTCTGTTGGAAACCAGGCAAATGAGGTTTATATATCTGTGAAATGTCCAGGTGGGAGAAAGAACTCTTGTCTAGTTGAGTGAAGTGTGAACGTCCACCTTGATTAGCATTGAATGGCCTTGTAGCTTCAAAGCCTAGCTGATTGCTGCCTTGGGGATCCTTTGTTGGGAAGTATTAGCTGACCCTGATTGATTCTGTCTGGAATTCCCCTGTTTTTTGAGTGTTGCTCTTTATTTACTGTCCTGATTTTAGAGTTCTTTTAAATACTGGTAGGCAGATTATGTTCATTTTCATGGTTTCCTCCTTTCTGTTGATTTTTTCCACATGGTTGTGGATTTCAATGACTTCTCTGTATAGTCTGACATGGTAGTTGTTAGAGTGGTCCAGCATTTCTGTGTTCTCAAATAATATGTTGTGTCCAGGTTGGTTCATCAGGCAAGCTTTGAAGCTACAAGGCCATTCAATGCTAATCAAGGTGGCCAATTGCAACATTCACACTTGCTTCAAGCAGACAAGAGTTCTTTCTCCCACCCTGGACATTCCACAGATATATAAACTTCACTTGCCTAGCTTCCAAAAGACCTCACAACCTCTGAGGATGCCTGTCATAGATGTGGGTGAAACATCAGGAGAGAATGATTCTGGAACATGGCCATACAACCTGGAAAATGCACGGCAACAAAGTGCTTCTGGCTATGATGGTGAATTGTTTTTTTATATTGTGTCTTGAATTTTGTTCTATGTTGTAACTGCTGTGAGTCGCCCCCGGGCTGAGAACAGCAAAGTAAATAAATAAATAAATAAATTTGACAAAACTATTCATGCAAAGGACACACAATGAGAAAAAGCAAGCTTGCAATCAAATATCCAGGAAGACATTCATCATCAACAAAGGACACTGAATGAAAACAAGTTGGCTTATTGACCATGCTGTGAAAAAGCCAGATTAAAATATTTTTAAACACCTCAATTTCAAGTATTTCCTAACTAATATTTGCTTGCTGGTTATATCACTAAACAAGCAATTCCACAACAAAGGCATCTAATAAATATATACATGAACAATGTGTCCTATCAAAGGAAGCATTCTGACAAATATTTTAAGAATTGCACATAAGCACATTGAAAATACTATGATTTAAAAATTACCTATGTCACCATTTTCCATAGCTCTTATATCGGGCCTTAACCGGCAATCGGTTTTAGGAATCACACTTTCCATTTCTGGATCCAGTTCATTCAAAGCCATAGCAAAGGTAGTAAAATTGTACATCTGAAAATGCAAACATGTACAGAGAAATAAGTGCCTTTTTGAGCACAGGTTTGCTTTCATGAAGGGAGATCACCTGGTAATAAGTGTACATGCTTGCAGAGGAAGTATCCCAGAGATCAGTTTTGAGGCTATTTATATAATGTATAATGCTTTAATAAAAATGACCTTTGGGAAGGAAGCAGAAGCATATCTATACAACATACTGGTATCTAAGTACCATCAAGTTATCTAGGAAGCCTTTTGAAACACAGAAATCACAGGGATTGCACAAGGGAAATTCACTGAAAGGCCTGGAGAATAATGATGCAAATAGAATAACGTAAATATCACGAAAAGCATTACCCTGTAGGACTGATCTGAAAATGTTTTTGGGAAGCTATGTGGGGCATTCATAAAAGATTTCCCCTGACACACTTCCTGTGGGCCGAGAGCAATGAAACTTGGCACAGTTATTAGTCCTTTACTAGGGACACATGCTTCTCCCATCTTTTTAAGCAACTGTAAACATCTTACTTGTAGAAGTCAACAGGTTGCTCCAAAAGCCACATGGTGAGTCTCATCATCTCAAAAAATGCTTGTCCTTCAAAAAATCTTCATTGTTGGAAAGAGGTGGGAATTTGATGGTGTGAGGTCGGATGAATAAGGGGGAAGCGGTAGAATTTCAAAGCCACAGGAGCATGCTTCCATTTGGGCAGCATGAGTTGTGAACTGGTGCATTGTTTTGCAGAAGGCGGAGACGTCCGGTGAGCATGCCACATCTCTTGGTTTTGATTGTCTCCTGCAATTTCTGTAGTAGTGAAACATACGAGGGTTGAATAAAAAGTAATGCCTTCACCTTCGTAACTCCTCAAAAGATGGCAGTACTGGTATGCAGCAGGTACTGGCTTGTTCAGTAGACTCTCCTCTACAATTCCATTTTGGCAGGAAACCTTATCATTGAACGGTTGTGTTATTACAAAGTATGGAACCCTGCGCAGACGGTCGGTCAATGCGACTTAAGCAACGTGCAGTCATTGAATTCTTGACAGCAGAAGGTGTCACCTCAACATCTTTAAACTTACATGCCCAATGACGCACAGTACTCACATCAACACAATTATCATAAACAGTTTGKATTCTCTGATGAATCTCCTTTGGGGTGACATCTTCTGCTGTCAAGAATTCAATGACGGCACGTTACTTAAGTCGCATTGACCGACCGTCTGCGCAGGTTTTCATATTTTGCACTTTAACAACACAACCGTTCAATGCTAACGCTTCCTGCCAAAGTGGAACTGTAGAGGAGAGTCTACTGAACAAGCCAGTACCTGCCGCATACCAGTACTGCCATCTGTTGAGGAGATACGAAGGTGGAGGCATTACTTTTCATTCAACCCTCATAGTATGCCGCAGTAATCATGGTACTCTTTGATAGGAAATCCATGAATTCTACTCCGTGTTAGTCCCCAAATACTGTGAGCATGACCTTGCCTGCCAAGAGTTGGGCACATGATGCTTCCATTGCATCGACTGGACTTTAGTCTCAGGAGCATAGTGAGGAAACCGCTTTCATTCTGTATGATCAGTCTGTTGAAAAAGTCCTCCTAGTTTCTATGGCGTATTGTGAATAGAGCCTGAGAGCATTTGATTAGTTCCTGCTTCTGGAAAGATATGAGCAGCTGGGGACCCAGCAAATGGCTACTTTATGCATGTGAGGATGGTCTTGGATTATTTTTTCCATGAACTCCACAGTAATCTTGGCATTTTGGACTAGGTAGTGAATGGTTGTGTAGCGATTTTCCAAAATGGCAACCTCTACTTGCTGGAAAGTGTGTTCATCGATAGTAATGGGGTTGCCCTGGAATTGGAGCTGTTTGCACCAAAGTCCGACCATATTGGAATTGAGAATGCCAGATCTTGACTACATCATGTGATGGGGAATCATCACCATAAACCTCTTTCATCTCATCGAATGCCTCCTTTAGTGTGCGGCCTTTCAAGTAAAGGAACTTGAGGACTGCTCTGTATTCCACTGGGTTCATTATCAAACCTCACACTATTTCAGGACCTGTAAAATCAAGACTGTTACCAGTTCTGAGTTGCAAATTGGCACGTGACCTATAGAGTTTTATATCATTACACACATGCAGTTTCAGCATCCTGTGATAAACAGATGTGGGTCAGGGGAAATCTTTAATGAACGCCCGTCGTATCAGTATAAGACATAAAGCAAGTCCAGATTTGAGAACTTAATAACCACAAACTTACTGTAGGCTGCCAGTTTAATAATGACTAGTAATTAATTATACAAGATTTATAGAAGTATTAAACCTTCTGAAGTAACTCTTTACATTAAGGAACTATAATAGTAACTAGTTATTGAAGCAAGAAGTGACAACCCATTTTTTTGGCAAATGAACTGCAAGCAAATGTTAAAACATTTAAAACATATTTCTGCTGCAGCTCCAGTCTTCACTGCTGTGCATACGCAGCATGAGCAACACAGAAGTTCCAATGACTCTGTGAAAGAACAATATCCCCAATAACTATGAATACATTTACGTGGGAAATTAGTTCTAGCCATAATTGGTATTAAATTCTAGATTACCCCTGAAATAGAAAGAAGAAAATCAATTGTTGCTGTTACATGTTACAAGGCCAATCTAAGCGTTCTAAGTGGTCCCCAGATAAAGGGAATACATCACTGAATTTATTAAACAAAAGATAGATTAAAATAATTAAAAATGGAAAGAAAGGTCTAGAATCCCTGCTGAAATGGTATTTTTGCCCATGCAAACTTTATAACAGCATATTTAACTAGAGCAGTGGTTCCCAACCTGTAGTCCGTGGACCACCAGTGGTCCCCAAGAACTAAAATATGGTCTGCCGTCTCACCATTATTACACCATTGCAACAAGAGTGTATGGTCTTGCGAAAGCCTCTTATAACCCCAGGCAATGAGGATGTTCCTGGGGTTATTTGGGATGCTGATTCAGAAAATTGTATTGGATAGACCACATCAGCTCTAGATTATTAAGTATTGTTTTCTGTGAGTGAGCAGATGGTGACTAGAAAAGGTAAAGTTTCCCATCACATTAAATTTAGTAGTGGGTGTTCACTGGATAAGGTATATCTTAATAAAGGTAAAGGTTTCCCTTGACATTAAGTCTAGTCGTGTCGGACTCTGGGGGATGGTGGTCATCTCCATTTCTTAGCCGAAGAGCCAGCATTGTCCGCAGACTCCTCCAAGATCATGTGGCCAGCAGGACTGCATGGAGTGCCATTACCTTCCCGCAGAAGCGGTACCCATTGCTCTACTCACATTTGAATGTTTTGGAACTGCTACATTGGCAGGAGCTGGGGTAACAGCGGAAGCTCACCCCACTCCCCAGATTTGAACCACCAACCTTTCCATCAGCAAGTTCAGCAGCTCAACGCTTTAATCCATTGCACCACCAGGGGGCACATGATGATTAAATATGGTCTTCTGTGGGTGAGCAGATGGCAACTACTGGATGGCATATGTTCTATATCGGAAACTAGAGCTGATGTGGTCTATCCAATGCAATTTTCCGAGTCCAGAATAAACAAACCAAATCTAAAGCTGACCAAAAACTGATTTGCAACCCTTTTGGTACTAATGTTGAGAGTGGTCCCTGGTCAAAGTGGTTCCTGGTCAAATGGTCCATGGTAAAAAAAAAAGGGCTTGGGAACCACTGATTTAGAGCCTACAAGTGACTGGATCCCAGTTAAGCTTTCAGAATAATTACAGTCATCGCAATGGACTGCTAGAGCAGAAACCTCATTCTACTTCTCTGCTGTTTACTTTGAAGACTACAAAGACAAAGCTGAGAAAATGCCCTTTTTGGACTATAACCTTTTGAATCCCTCTGCCAGCATGGCCAATGGGAAAAAATCAGTTGAAAAAGGAAACACTAATCAAATTTAACTGCAGACACCAAACTGTAATCTGACCAGTGGATTTATTGAAATAGATGCACAAGGTAGACTAGAGCAAATATGTGTATGTATTCTGGCTCTCCTCTCCTTCCCCACAACTATCCAGACATCATGAGACACTGATCACATTAAATTTGAATGCATATCTACATGAAAAATAAAAGAACATCGGAAAAAAACTGACAGCACAGAGTCAAGAATCTACTTCACCTCTGTTGAGTTTGAAGGCCTTGGAACTATCTTCCATAATAATATACTTCCTGGTATTACGCAGACACTTTCCGAATTTGGCAAGGGAATCTCATCTGGTTCTTCAGAGCTGCCTGTCTAAAAGAAGGAGGCATGTGAAATACAGTACATCAAATCAAGAAGCTACACAAGAACAGTACCTCTGCTAGATCAAAATAAGTAATTGGAACTTTGTCGTTGTTTGCCACTGAGTGATAATAACAGTACGGGCAGTCCCCGAGCTACAAATATCCGACTTACAAATGACTCATAGTTACAAACAGAGGTGAGACAACAGGAAATGAGAGAAATCTATTCCTTGGAAAGGAAATCCACTTCTGAAACAGTTATCATGAGGAAAAGGGGTCTCTACTGAAGCTTTATCACCAATCCTTGTTTCCACGACAAGCCACATTTTTCAAAATCCAATGATGACAGGGACAGAAAGTGAAGTGAAATCTTCTGAGCAGGGGCATAGACAGCAAACACACTTTTAAAATGTACCTGTTCCGACTTACAAAGAGATTCAACTTAATAACAAACCTACAGAACCTATCTTGTTTGTAACTTGGAGACTGCCTGTAATGGTAAATCACTTATATCCTGACTTTCTTCCGAAATAGACTCAATGCGCTTTACATGAATTACAGTGGACCCTTGTTATCCACTGGTGTTTGGTTCCAGCACCTCATGTATATCAAAACCCATGGATGCTCAAGTCCTGTTATATAAAATCCCCCCGGAGTGTGGTGGAGGCTCCTTCTTTGGAGGCTTTTAAACAGAGGCTGGGTGGTCATCTGTTGGGAGGTGCTTTGAATGTGATTTTCCTGCAGGGGGTGGGACTGGATGGCCCACGAGGTCTCTTCCAACTCTATGATTCTATGATTCATGTTCCCACCAGACCCCGAGAGATGGTTTTCCAGCAGGCTTACGGAATATTTTTTTTGTCCTATCCATTTTCCTTGTATCATCAAAAGTCAAAGAAATATTTCATGTTTAAAGTATTTTATGTTGTTGTTGTTGTTGTTTTGATCCATAACATTAGCAACCTCCTATAAAACCCGATTTTGGAAACGAAACAAAAGGAACATATATGAATGCTTTGTTTTTCTTTTCTTCTCCTCCTGTTCCCTTAGCTCTCTACAGGTACTGTCTTGAAGACAGCAGTAAACCTCCAGAGCCTTTCCGTATTCCCAATAATAGATACCAAAGGCTGACTGCAAGCGGCAATCTAATGAATCACCACCGGAGTGTTTAAAAGGAGAACATCTGAAGTTATAAACATTACAAACATAGCATAATTGGTCCAACATGAAGATATATACACAACAGGGGAACGACACAGCAAAAAGATAAACATGTGCTTCGGTCTGTTCCACGGAAATTATGGAGATTTACTTCACTTGTGTTTAGAGATGAATAAAAGTAAATTTGCTTTTATTTTGTCTAATTTTGGGAAGGTATTTCAAAAGATTGGGCCATCTTTCTGCCATGTGTTTGGCACCAACTCCAAAGCAGAAGTATTTGGGATCATTTACAGAATGCAGAAAAAGCTCAATTTTTCAAATGATAGTGAAACCCACAAACATCTCCAAATAAATTTTGCAAATCTAAGAAGCCCAAAAGGCTTCTTTATCAGGAATGGATGTTAAAAGTCATTTTAGGAGAAGGACTATGGTGATTGATGAAGCTCTGTGACCCTCCATCGTCACTTTTCTTCTCCCAATGAATGTAAAGTTCATGAGATGTTTGGGACACAAAAGCAAGGCACGGCAGTAAGCATTTCCCCCCACTATTTTTAGAAACAAAAGAAATTCTGCTTCAATCTAGCCCTAAGCTGCTTTTGGTTATAAACCCCTCTGTCAGCAGAATTTATTTATTTACTCTATTATTATCCTGCCTTTTTCCCAAATGAGTGTTTCATAATTAAGTGGCAGCATAGCTTCTTCATTCAGTGCTGTTTGCAAGGATTAATCAAGGACAGGAGAAAAAACTTCACTGCACATCCATTTGCAAGAGCTTGTGCTTGCTATTGTTTGATTTCATCCCTGGACTGCACAAATCTTTGTGTCATCAGGTTTCAATTTTTTTTTCGTGTCAGAAGCGACTTGAGAAACTGCAACTTGCTTCTGGTGTGAGATAATAGGCCATCTGCAAGGACATTGCTCAGGGGATGTTTGATGTTTTACCAGCTTTGTGGGAGGTTTCTCTCATGTTCCTGAATGGGGAGCTGGAGCTGACAGAGGGAGCTCAACCCCCTCCACCCTGGATTCGAACCAATTGGCCCACTGGGTGCTCCATCAAGTTTCCAGTCTTAAATTAGTAGCTAGCCTATAGGTAGGGCCAAGCTCACGGATTCTTTCCCCCCACAATCCTATGCATGTTTTCCTAAAGGACTTTGTCTTTTGTCTTTCCTGCTAGCCACTGTCTTTCCCTCCTTTGATGACATAGTGAAGGAACTCTGTGAGGGAATTTCCTTTTAAGTTTAAATTGCCCCAGGAAGGCCATGCAGTCTCCACCATATTACTTCTGCTTTGCTTTCTCCATGTGAGGATGCATTTTGCCTCTCTGTAGGCAAAATGTAGCTGCATGGACTTTATTTCCTTTTACCTTCTTTAGAAGATGAGGTTTAGTAAGCTAGTTAGCTCTAAGACTTTTCTATCAAGAATGTTTTTTTTTACTTTAATAAATTTTTTGAACCTAAAGTTTGACACTGCAAATCTCAGCCATCCTAAATATTAGAAGGCTATCCCCTGCTCATCACGCGTATGTTTCTTCTGGTTATGGAGTTTACTGCTATTACTCTGCTACATTTTGGTCGGACGGTTATTTTTGGGCCTAACCACTCAGATTCCCCGACAAATACAACAACTTAGAAGGATTCTCTAATTAAAGAAATATAAGATACCATCATATCTGCCAAAGAGGACAGAGGCCCAATTCAGACAATAGTTTGCAGCTTCATAAACATGGTTTACTAAAAGTAATAATAATCTTATTTGTAACTCACCCTATCTCCCCAAGGGGACTCAGGGTGGTTTCCAGAACAAAAGTGGCAAACATTCAATGATGTAATGAACAAACAAAACATATCAAAACAATAAATAAATAACATAAATATAAACATATACACTTAAAGGATGAACCATAGAATAATCAAAACAGATAAGCCTCATCATATGAAGCACAGAGACTAGAAGCACAGTTTGCACCTGGTCTTGTCCCGTCTCTTCTTCCATATGCGGCTTTAGGTATGATGAAGATCTTGGTTTGTATAAACCACAACCTCCATTCTTTTATGTCAGAAATGAGAAGGGAAACGAAGAAGAGGCCATAGCGTTACGAAGCCTTTAACTACCTTTTGAATGATACATGCTGCCAACTAGATAGGTAAAGCTTGATTTTGAAAATTTCTATCAGTTCTGTAAAGCAAAGTGCACTTCCGAATTTTTCACACCATCTTCAGTTATTTACTCCTGCTATACCTTTAGTGACTAGTTTGCTATTCTACATTTTTCTGTAAGTACCTGCTTATTGTTCTTCTTCTCGTCTGTGTTTTTCTTGTCATTCTTTTTGTAAGCTTCAAAAGTAGCAAGGTCACTGCTGTACAAACATTCAGTCCACTTTCCATAGAGTGCACACAGTTTCTTTTTGCTGTCCCCAAACAAAAAATCCAAGACAATAAATTTTAGGAAAGAGTAGAATTGCAAATAAATTCAACATTCAGCTTTACACTCTACACAAAATCAAGAAAGAAACAGTCAACTTTGAGAAAGCAATGACTAATGAAAAATGTTGGGGAAAGTCACTGAGAATGAAGCTACTGGACAAGATTTGATGGAACAATGCACCAGCAATATCCTCTGATCAAAGGTGACACCTTTTAAGAAAAACTACCCTAAAATATACAGCAGAGCATCCAAAAACAAACAGGATACAAAAGTTGAGCGTCAGCTCATTAGCAAGCAGTGCGTGAAGTAACGTGTGATGTGGCTGTAAAGACTTCAGAGTTTAGGAGGCAAACATGCCTCCTATCTTTTAAAAAATCACAAAGGTTTTTTTATAATAATAAACAATAACTGTATTTCTTAATAGTAAGCACTGGGTCTGAACTACTCTAACACCCATCTCCTCTTCTTTTTTTAAATTTTATTTGAGAAGAGAAAATAGAGTTACATAGACATATACTATACATTTCCCTCTCTTTTATTTACATTCACCCATGTGCTCCCCTTCTCCAGAGCCATCTCTTTTCCTAAAGTCCCACCAAAAAAATCAGTTCTTTATTTGGAGGTAATTTCCCATCTTCTTTTTCCAATAATTTTTCTAGAAATTTTCTCCAGATACTTTCAAAGTCATTTTTTAAAACATAATCCCTTCTTTACTTTTAAGTTTGATGTTAGCTTATCGTTCAATGCCATTTTCCAGATTTCTTTATACCATTCATTAATCTGTATTTTCATTGCCCCTTTCCAATATTTTGCAATTAATAGTCTAGCTGCTGTTAATAACATGTCTATTAAATTTTCCCCCCTCTTATCTTTCCCATCCTCTTTATTAATTAAAAGTAATATTTCTACTGGATTCCTCCTAATTTTTATATCCATAATATTTTCTATTTCTGTTATAACCAATTCCCAAAAATCTCTTACGTATTTGCTGTCCCACCACACATGCATGTAGGTTCCAGTTTCTTGGCATCCTCGCCAACATTTTTCATTATTGTTATTATTTATAATGTTTAACCTTCTCGGTGTTAAATACCATTTCCAAATTCGTTTATAATAATTTTCTTTTATTCTAATTGACATGTTTTTTAAGTGTCTTGCTTTCCATATCTCTTCCCATTCTTTTTCAGTTACCATTGTTCCTACTTCCTCCTCCCATAATTCTCTTAATGTTAGTCTTTTCTTTTTCCTGTATCTTTAATTAGTATTTTATATATTTTACTTGTTGTTCCTTTTAATTGCTTGCTATTTTCTCTTTTTAATCCTTTTATTATCAATTCCTCAAATTGTGTTATTTGCTTCCCAGTTTTATTTTGGACCCACCAATTATTATTCCAACACCTATCTCTTCTAAGGTTTCAAAGAGAGGGGAAAAACACCAATCACTACATCTCTCTGACACACACGCAGAGAGAGATCTCAAAGCACACAGCACATACTCTCCATACTAAAGTGTAAGAAGGAAAAAGTCAGATTCAAAAAGCTTGCAGTAGAAAAGTAAACAACCAATCAGAATGGGAACAGAAAGAGAGAAGAAAAAGACATATTCCCAGCTGTCATTCAGGAGACATGGGGGAAGGGAAACCCTTAGTCTATACTAAGCTAACTAACTGCTCTTCATTGAGGACTTGAGATTTGGGCAGTGTGGGGTGGAATTCCAACAACACTTAGGATTCCTCTTTGCAGGAATTTGGACAGGGCTTGGCATTGGCAAGGTATTAGGACAGAAGTCTCTAAGGGCCACAAAAACAGCACATTTGTATCCCAAGTACTATAGATGAATTAAAAACTTCACCCCCCTTGAAAATATATTCAGAAATTTCAACAAAAGCGTCTTATTTACCTTTTATCTTGAATATAGCCTTCTACCTTGTGTAATTCCTTTCCAAAAAGACCGCAGGGTTTGAAATTTAACATACATTTTTCTCCAGTTCTGTGGAAGACATTTCAAGGTAAGCTTTAACCTCTTAAAATTTACACTCAGGTATGATTATATCTGCTTCATTTTCCCCCTCCCCCAAACCCAACCTTAATAATTAAGAGGATCTTTTGGGAAAAAGTTAAATACAAAGGTCTTCAGCAAACATTCAACACATAGATTGGATTTCTGACCACTGCAAAGTGGTAACATAATATAGTCTGACATCACCAAGGAAACAGCTGTGAATGAGCACATTCCAGCCATGTTTTGTCTCTGAGAGAATAACAAATTAGAGACGCTCATATCACCTAACACTAAATTCTTCCAAGCAGCATTATGTGAGTTTTAAAAGACTGCTCTGAGTTTACAGATATTATAAATGTAACTCGCTGCATTTTCAAAACAAGTAGGAAGGACAAATTTCTATCTTACTTGTGATTGGTTATTTCCATATTCCCATATTGCTCAATCCAAAGCTTGCCCACAATAATATTATGCACACAGCATGTAGGATTTGTCCATGTGTATGCTTCATCGTGCCTGGAGTTAAAAAGAGAACACAGGCTATTAGAGCCACAAATCCTTACCATTTTTTTTTAAATAGACAAATACAGATTTCTAAACCATTTTTGCCACTGAGAATAAGTCAAATATTTTTATTACTTATTTTATTTAAAAAATTTATATTCCTCCCTTCTCACTCCGAAGGGGACTCAGGGCGGAGCACAACATACAAACAGCAAACATTCAATGCCATGACATGAATTCATTATATGCATACATAAACATTATGTACTGGCTACACACACAGGCTCTTTGCAGGAATTTTTACACTGCAAAACAATGCTGTTTGAACTGCCTTATATGGAAATTTCAATGGAGGTAAAACTGCATATCGATATACACGCTGACCATATAATGCAGTTCAAACTGCGTATGGGTTCTACACTGATTATACATATAATGCAGTTCAAGCTGCATTATTTGGTGGTGTAGATCCAGCCACAGAAAGAAAAGAAAATGCTGATTTGAAGCACCCTTTGAGGTAGTAGTTCCAGCACATTATTCTGCTGACACAAACTAGATATTTGCATGCTGAACACAACGGCTCCCCTGTTCCCAGAGACACGTTAACTCTTGGATGCCTCTAAATCAGGTCATTTTCAAACTAAGCACATTGCTGGCCCTGATTAATTTATTTCAGGTCAAATGCTGTCTATTCTGTTCAGACAGCAAGTGTAGTAGAGATGGAGAATTATATCAAAACAGGACTTGAGTTATTCCAATCAAGAAACATACACACCTCACTAATATCTAAACTAATATGAAAACTAGCCTGCAGCCCAGCAGTGACAAAGCACATATTTCTATCAGCCCGAAATAATACAAGTGACATCCTTTGACAGGAACATAACAAGCTGCCTTTCCAGATTGAGGCACTTTCTGCATACGAAAACAGTGCCTTGCCATCAAACTGTGCCTTGCTAAATTCTGTTACAAGAATTCACAACAGCTCTAAGATATGGATATCTGATAAGATGCAGTTACTAGTTAGATTCTATAAAGACAACACAAGGACTGCAATGGACTAGGATATTTCAGAGAGACAATGGACCAATGTATTTAAGCCAATACTCTCCATGGGATAGCAAGATGGTACACTATTTTTGGTGAGTTTGCCCCTCACTGCTGTCCAACCTCTGCTATTATTTTGAGATAGCTGGTTTCATATCCACACCCAAAGACAGTGGTTGTATTAATGTATTGTCGAAGGCTTCCATGACTGGAATCACTAGGTTGTAGGTTTTTCGGGCTATATAGCCATGTTCTAGAAGCGTTCTCTCCTGATGTCTCACCTGCATCTATGGCAGGCATCCTCAGAGGACCTCACAACCACTGAGGATGCTTGCCATAGATGCAGGCGAAACGTCAGGAGAGAATGCTTCTAGAACATGGCCATATAGCCCAAAAAACCTACAACAACCCAGTGGTTGTATTATTTCACTGCTATTTTGACCGCTTCAGACACTACAGTATATACCAGGCATGGGCAAACTTGGGCCCTCTGGGTGTTTTGGACTTCAACTCCCCCAATTCCTAACAGCCTATGGCTGTTAGGAATTGTGGGAGTTGAAGTCCAAAACACCCAGAGGGCCCAAGTTTGCCCATGCCTGGCATATAAAATTAAAAGAATGCAGTCACCCTCCCTCGGGTTAGGATACTGGTTTACTGGTTACCTGCTGATTGTGGTCAAATATTCCGTATCTTTGTACGATGGTTATGATATCATGCTTTTAGACAGTAGTGAGGGCAGCTTGACAACTAGCCTTGCAATAGCCAGAAGCAAAACCAAACAGCACAGCAAAGTCTCTTACACTGACTCCTGTCTGTAACATCTCACACCAAGAACTAAAAACGGTGCTTAGAACCGATTTCTTCAACCTAGAGTCCTCCAGTAGTCTTAGTCTACAACTCCCAGTATTCCTACCCATTAGCCATACCAGCAGTGGCTGATGACAGTCTGGAGGACACCAGGAAAGGAAAGGCTGATCTATTGACTGACTATTAAGTTAAAATCATACACGTTTATATACATACCCTGAAAACATAACATTTTAATTATCTTGTGCATTTTTATTGTGTCAGAAGCAAATTGAGAATATACTCCAAGTCGCTTCTGGTGTGAGAGAATTGGACGTCTGCAAGGACATTGCCCAGGGGATGCCTGGATGTGTTACCATCCTATGGGAGGCTTCTCTCATGTCCCTGCATGGAAAGCTGGGGCTGACAGAAGGGAGATCATCCTGTTTCGCAGATTCAAACCGCCGACCTTCAGGTCTTCAGGTCAGCAGTCCAGGTTTAACCCATTGCGCCTCCATGGCTCATGGAACCATGAAACACAAAGTCGTTGCTCTTGTGCATGAAATGAAGTTTGTCTACACCAGGGGTCCTCAAACTAAGGCCCGGGGACCAGATGCGGCCCTCCAAGGTCATTTACCCGGCCCTCGCTCAGGGTCAACCTAAGTCTGTAATGACTCGAAAGCACACAGCAACAACAACAACAATCCTATCTCATCAGCCAAAAGCAGGACCACACTTCCCATTGAAATACAAATAAATTTATATTTGCTAAAATTGTTTTTCATTTTAATTATTGTATTTTTGCACTACAAATAAAATATGTGCAGTGTGCGTGGGAATTAATTCATGTTTTTTTCAAATTATAATCCGGCCCTCTAACAGTTTGAGGGACTGTGACCTGGCCCTCTGTTCAAAAAGTTTGAGGACCCCTGGTCTACACTGAACCACCAGAAAGCAAATCACCCACTCATATGGACATTTTTTGGATTTCGGAATTCCAGAAAGGGATGCTCGACCTGCATCTTCTTTGCTGTTCTTTCAACACATTCAATCAAGCTCCCACCCAGCCCAAATTAACACTCCCCATCCCTTAGTCTCACCACCCACACTGCCTGTACTTCATATGTATTCAGATTTCACAGCTGCATGGAAATCATCTATTCTACATTTACACAGAGTGAAGAAGAGCCTTCAATATATTTAGGACTAGAGTATATACCTGGCTGCCTGGGTGTTGGAGGGGCCGCCGCCCTCATTTTTGCTTGCTTGCTTGCTCCCTCCCCTCCCTTTCTACCTTTTCCCCTTTTTCTGCAATCCTTTCTTCCTTCCCTTCCTCTTCTTTCATTTCTTTGCTTTTATTCTTTCTTTTCTCCCTTCCTCTCATAAATATGTCACTTTTCTTTCCCAGTGACATCACAGGGGACCACTTCACCTAGCGACAATCCTTCACCTAGCAACAGCCAATTCAGTGACATCAAAGGAGGCCACATCACCCAGCAACAACTTTTGTGGTGCAGATATTACATATTTTGTCTTTTATATAAATAGATGAGGCCCAAATAGCCAGCTGCTCCACAGCTATGCCAGAGGCAGCAACCTGAACCATTTGCCTTGGAAGTGATTTTTTTTTTTGCCTGTGAGTCCCCCTACCTTTCCTTCCTCCATGCCTATATGATCCCATATCTGCCAGAAAAAGAATTTAGCTTTTATAGATTCATGCAGTAATGCGATATACATGCTACTAGCATTTTGTCTTATTACAACTATAATATAGCGAAGTTGCCTGACCTACTTACTCAAGTAGTTGTAGAGTTATTATTCCCTTAGGTTCAGCTTCAACGCTCTTTCCCCAGAACTTGAGTTTAGGATAAATGGAACCATGAAATATGAAGTCATTACTCAGGCCTTCTGCATAAAAAGCACTGACTGGTGGATGATGACTAACTTGTTCCGAAATGAGTCTGAATCCGAGATCTTCTCTAAACACAGAAAGAGATAGTTGAGCCAAAGTTGCAAAGAGACTACAAAAAAGTCATCAACATACAAGGACTGTGCAAAAAAGGAAATTTGTTAATAAAAACGAAGGTATCACATGAGCAATAATGTCTAAACCAAAACCATTTTGGACGACAATCCTATTGCATTTTCCAAAATGGACATTTAACAGCACAATAAGGCAAAAGTCTTAATTACTGCCACTACGTAGTGACTTTAGCATAGCATATAACACACACTAACTAGTTATACCACATGTTTAAGAGGATATACTTGGATCTGCTCATTAAGCCAGTTAGTCAAATTCATTAAGTATTTATTACCTGACCAGTTCATATGTCTCTCCAAGTAATGGGTTGAATGGCTTTCCTGTTCGTTCCCACTGAGAGGCAACGGCAGAGACAGCAAATGCAGCTACACACTGGGGAGGGAAGCAGTTTAAATGCATATTTACCACGGTAAATATAACTCAAAAAATCCTGCTACGTACTTTTTTGTTGAAGAAAATATTTCACTATCTTAAAACAATTAAAACAAGATGTAATATGCCTGCAGGAAACACACATCTTAAGAGAGGATGAAAAATTTTTGATTGATAAGAAACTAGGAGAAGAATTTATCTCAGCAGGATTAAAAACAATGAATGGAGTTGTGTCCTAAATCCGATCACAATTGAATCCAAAATTAATACTTCCTGATGAAAAAGGTAGATATGTAGGGGCTGAAATATCTATGCAAGGATTAAAAACTTTAGTAGTTGGGATTTATGCTCCAAATATTAACAAAACGAGGTTCTATAAAGAACTCTTGACAAAGTTATCAGCCCTCAATTATGAAAACTGGTGCCTTATGGGAGACTGGAATGGAGTGATTTTGCCAAAGAAAGACAAACTCTCAAGGAAAACAGTTAAAGCAACTCCAGGTAAACTACCAAAAGTTTGTTTTGATATGATGGAAATCTTAGGAGTGGTGGGTATATTGAGACATATAAATGGGGATGCTAAAGAATATGCATATTTTTCTGAAAGACATAAGACTTTCTCTAGAATTGATATGATATGGCTATCTGCCAAACCCCCAACTCAAGTTCAAAAGACGGAAATCCTACCCAAAACAATCTCAGATCATAACCCAGTGACTGTAAGTAATTAAAAGAAAATAAAAACACTTAGATGCCAACTGAATGAATCACTACTGCAAAAGGACATGATTAAGAATTGTAAAGAAAAATTGAAAGAATATTTTGAACTTAACTTAAATCAAGGTGCAGGCATTCAAACTGTGTGGAATGCCAGCAAAGCTTATATTAGAGCAGTGGTCCTCAAACTGAGGCCCGAGGGCCGCATTCGACCCTCCAAGGTCATTTACCCAGCCCTCGCTCAAGGTCAACCTAAGTCTGAAATGACTTGAAAGCACACAACAACAACAACAACAATCCTATCTCATCAGCCAAAAGCAGACCCACACTTCTCACTGAAATACTAATAAGTTTATATTTATTAAAATTGTTCTTCATTTTAATTATTGTATTGTTTTTAAATAGTTTTTGCACTACAAATAAGATATGTGCAGTGTGCATAGGAAATCATTCATGCTTTTTTCAAATTATAAGTCGGATCTCCAACAGTTTGAGGGACTGTGACCTGGCCTTCTATTTAAAAAGTTTGAGGACCCTTGTATTAGAGGATACTTTATAAAATACAACACAGAAATGAGAAAGAATAGACAGAAAAAAATTCAGATGATTTCAGATGAAATAAAAAATAAAAAATATTGTTAAAATGAATATGAAACAATAATAATAAAGTATTGTCGAAGGCTTTCATGGCTGGAATCACTAGGTTCTTGTGGGTTTTTTCGGGCTATAGGGCCATGTTCTAGAGGCATTTCTCCTGACGTTTTGCCTGCATCTATGGCAAGCATCCTCAGAGGTAGTGACCCTATAGCTCGAAAAAATCCACAAGAACCCAATAATAATAAAACTTTATTTGTATTCTGAGGGGACTCAGGGCGGATGTAGTAGTGCAGTAGCATACACAAAAGTTTGAGAGAGAGAGAGAGAGAGCAGGGAGAAAGACAGAGAGGAATAGACAATCAAAACTATTTCCACATTAAGCAGCACTTAAAACGAAATCTAGCAGGTTAGCTATTCAACCGTTGGATATCTGCTTTAAAAACAATAACAAAGCACATGCAACTTTCCAAAGCGGAAGTACCTGCATTCTTTCTATGGGGTCAGAAAGTGAGCTGGCTTTATGAATTAAGTATGTGTGTTCCATGTATTCTGTCAGTCGCTGTAGGAAACTTAGCGGCTCATTAAAAATTACCGGCATAGTGATCTTGGACAGCTCCTAGTAGAATTTTAAAAACAGTGTTAAGATGTACACCAATTTACATACATTACCTTGTTACTAATTTTGATAGTGATTTGTCTGTACCATTGCAAAACAAACAAACAAACAAACAAAAAGCCCCCAAAAACCCAACCCTGATCATTTTGAGGAAATTGGAGAATGGAGCCATACAAAGAGAAGGAAATAGGCTCCTTCACATACGTCTACTTTTCAAAGTTAGAGGACTTCTACAGTAATCATGAAGCCTTGCTGTCAAGGGTAACCTTTACAGTACATCGTGATGTGCAAACGTAATGACAAGAGCAGTTAAGAAGAGAAATAACATTTTGCTGAAACTGAGATTATATTTGGATTAAGACCTTCCAATTCATAGTTTGTGCTCTCTTTCTAATGTTCTTCTCAGTTGCAAGTAACACAAATAATTCATTTGAAAATAATTCTAGACTTTGTGAAAACTTGCCAAAGAATTTCAACAAGAATTTCCTGGTGTCTCAGCATCTCAGTGGAATATTTTTTCATGTCTTACGTTTCTACCTTTGTGTGTGCGTGCACGGTGTCTTGTGGCAGTGACTCAATCTCTGGTTTTCTATTGCTATTTTTATCCTCTATTTCACTTTAATGAGGTGTCTTAGAAACTTTTTGGAACTTGTCCATTATTCACCTCTGGGTGAATTACAGACATTGAAAAAGGCTGAGGACTATAGTGAAATAACTTAGAGCCACATTTCCAATGTCTTCTACAGCAACACAGATAAGACAATACACATGTTTGCATCAAAACTGTACACATGTATTAATTTGAGCCCTTTTGTACAAGGATATAATCATACAACGCATTTTAGTATGAACTCTGGGCATCTTTATTGCAACTACATACCATTCCAATGCACTTTCTTAAGATGCTCCAAATACTGAAATCATTTCTGGAAAACATTGGAGAAGGTAGGCTTGTCCTATATTGGAATGGAAGCAAGAGACCAAGCTGATTAATCTCAAACAATATGTTTATTTGTAGAATAAAGGTGCATCTTAACTGTAAAATTAATGCACTTTAATAGCCATGGGCTCAATGCCATGGAATCATGGAATCGTAGCTTTACTACACCTTTTAGTCTTCAAATTGTGCTTGAACCTCACCAAATCACATCTTCCATGACGGAGCCTCCAGCGGCACAATGGATTAAACCCTTGTGCTGGCAGGACTGCTGACCGAAAGGTCAGAGGTTCGAATCTGGGGAGTGGGGTGAGCTCCTGTCTGTCAGCTCCAGCTTCTCATGCGGGGACATGAGAAAAGCCTCCCACAGGATGGTAAAACATCAGGGCATCCCCTGGGCAACGTCCTTGCAGATGGCCAATTCTCTCATAACAGAAGCAACATGCAGGTTCTCGAGTTACTCCTGACACGAAAAATAAACCTCCCATGACTCTATAGCATTGAGCCATGTCAGTTAAAGTGATGTCAAAACTGCATTAATTTTACAGCGTAGCTGAACCCAAACCAGGGATAAGGAATACATAGATCTCCAAATTCTGTATTGGAATTCCTATTGTTTTTCACCACTAGCAATACTGGCTAGGGCTGATGAGTGTCACACTCAAACACTGGTAGGATAATACGTTCCAGATCTCTGGAGAAAATGTGTAAGACAGTGACCCAAAACAAAATTCTGAGCATTGACCTATCTACACTACTAGTAACTACTCCCGCCCCTCTTACATTTGTAATTATATGAGACCCAAGTGGAATGAATAATTTAAATTATTTTCCAGAAATAGTTACATGTAACCTCACCAAATGTGTTGTGAAACGGCAACCAATAGGAAACCAATTCAGACAATTGTTTTGCTAGGTGTTGTGTCCCAAATAGCAGGTAAACCAATGGAAAACTAGGCAATAGGACACAATGGAAGGGAAAGACAAATGAAGCTGTCCTTCTCTCTTGTTCAAAATGTAAAGGGGTTGGTGCGAGCACTAATTTCTAATGCCCTTTTTAGGGGCTCTAAATCTCAAATTGAAAGTGGAAGAAAAAAGCGATATTTCATGAGCATCATCCAGTAGGTTCCCACAACCGCCAGACCAGAATGTAGATGGCTGTCACAGCAGTGCTAGTCATGCCTCTCTGCGAGATAATAAGGGCCTTTTCCAATTCCTGCTTGAAGCACAGAAGCCTGCCAAACCTGTTTCACTAGAGCCCATAATGGAACAGAAAAAGTGAACATGCATATCGTAGGTAGTAACAGCTTTCCAACACAAGCATACCACTACTATAATACATAACCTATACCACAGTATAGAGTAGGCCTGCACAACCTTCGGCACAGCAGATATTTAGGACTCCAACGTACCTGTCCAAATGTATCTCCCTCTATGAGCCAGTCAGGAGGTTAAGATCGTCAGGGGAGGCCCTGCTCTTGGTCCCGCCTCCTTCGCTGGCATGATTGGTGGCGATTAGATACAGGGCCTTCTCAGTGGTGGCCCCTCGGCTATAGAATTCCCTCCCAAATGAAATCAGATCAGCCCCTTCCATTCTAACCTTCAGGAAAAGGCTAAAGACATGGATGTGGGATCAAGCGTTCCGTTATTAACCCATTAGAAAATTATGGAATAGTGCAATGATAATTTGGAATGGTCATGGATTACGATTTTGGGTAACATGATTTTAATAACTTTTTAAAGGTTTGATATGTTTTTTATTTTATATGTATGTTTACATGGCACTGAATTGTTGCCTATATATGTAAACTGCCTTAAGTCCCCTATGGGGTTGAGAAAGGCGAGGTATATAGCAAAGGTAAAGGTTTTCCCCTGATATTAAGTCCAGTTGTGTCCGACTCTGGGGGTTAGTGCTCATCTCCATTTCTAAGCCGAAGAGCCAACCTTGTCCATAGAGACCTCCAAGGTCATGTGGCTGGCATGACTGCATGGTGCGCTGTTACTTTCCCACTGGAGCGGTACCTATTGATCTACTAACATTTTGCATGCTTTTAAACTGCTAGGCTGTCAAAAGCTGGGGCTAACAGCGGGAGCTCACGCCGCTCTCTGGATTTGAATCTGCAACCTTTCGGTCAGCAAGTTCAGCAGCTCAGCGCTTTAACTCACTGTACCATCGGGTGCTGGGTATAAGTAGGGTAAATATAGGAGCCATTGGTGGTGCAATGGGTTAAATCCTTGTGTCAGCAGGACTGAAGACTGACAGGTCAGAGTTTCAAATCTGGGGACAGTGTGGATAAGCTCCCTCTGTCAGCTCCAGCTCCCCATTCAGGAACATGAGAGAAATCTCCCACAAAGCTGGTAAAAAAATCAAACATCTGGGCGTCCCATGGGCAACGTCCTTGCAGACAGCCAATTATCTCACACCAGAAGCGACTTGCAATTTCTCACGTTGCTTCTGACACAAAACAATAGGGTAAATAAATAAACTCCCAGAAGCCCTGGCCAGCTTTTCAATGGTCAAAAATTGTGGAAGCTGTAGTCCAAAACACCAGGAGGGCAGCAGGTTGTGCAGGCCTGATATAGAAAGATTCTTCAGTCATCCGGGACTTTAAACTAGATTCACCACCATGATAGTCATATATTTTATTAGTTGTTCAATTCATCTCTAGGCTGCTAATATCATTTTCAAATTCTGATCCAGCTACAGGCCACAAATCTGTCTGAAAAGGTTGAGAGATTAAAGAAGGCAAGAATAATTTTGCCATCTCTGCTGCAATAGGAATGACAAAATTGCAAGCATCAAGGATTACTCATTATTCCTATGTGGGGCCAACAATTACGAGATGACTAAGAGAACCAAAACATGTTTAACGAATAATAAACCAAAATGATGATATTATCAAAAACATGGGAACATAAACTCGAACTATTTGGACAACTGCATGATTGCATATGGAGATCTGACTTCATTCTAAGGATAATGTGTTCTATTTTATTTTGAAGCTGTTTTACCTGGGATGTACCAGTAAAAATACAGTCCTTTACTGAACTAGGATTCTGAATATCATGTCTTTTTCTTTCCAAGGGGAAAACCAAAGTGAATAGCACGTATGTTACTGAACTGATCTTTTATGATTAGCCCTTCCTCACTATCCTGGAAAACAAACAATCCTAATATAGTGTTCTCTCCCCGAATTATACTTTCTACTTTGATTGTGCTTTTCCTGCATAGCAGGGGGTTGGACTAGATGGACCATGTGGTCTCTTCCAACTCTATGATTCTATATGGAAATCATTTAAACAGTTCCACATATCTATTCCCACTCCATGGAGGCAGATAAAAAGCATCAAGGAGTACTTTTAGGGATATACAAAAAAGATCCTATCTTTAAAAAATAAACTTAGGTGCGGTAGAACTTCCTAGTTTACTTCCTTATCTCCACTCCTTGGAAAGGTTATGTTTTTACAGCACGTTTGAACTCAATTGGGGTATTTTCATAATTACAGTGTTATGATTCTACTTTAGCAGCTATGATGTAATCCGTTGAGATCTTAGTAAGGTAAAAGTTTTCCCCTGACATTAAGTCCAGTCGTGTCCGACTCTGAGGGGTGGTGCTCATCTCCATTTCTAAGCTGAAGAGTGGCGCTGTGCGTAGACACCTCCAAAGTCATGTGGCCGGCATGACTGCATGGAGCGCCGGTACACCAGAGCGGTACCTATTGATCTACTGCTTTCAAACTGCTAGGACTTACATCAAGTAATCAATCCCAAAGTGCAATTATGGCAGTTAAAACGGTGGTGGTGTTTTTCTTTTTCTTTTTTTAAAGAGGGTTATTCTTTTCCCAAGTATTTTCTTGGCCCTTTTAGGAAAATCAACAGGAGTACATTTCCCCAATCCTACACAGAACTCACAGAGGCTTTAAGGAAAAAGATCCCTCAATATTTATAAGCATTCACACAGTTTTATGCCTGAAATGGCTTCTTTGTAAATGTTTCTTTTCCTCTATTTTCAAATTAGGGGACTACGTGTTTGCTTCTACAGTAAGTAAGGCCTATGTGTTCATTCACAGGGGATATGTTCATGGTTGGACTGTAGTTACCTGAAACCACAGATATGACCAAATACCATTAAATTATCTGATTCCTGGTCCCTGCATACTAAACTTTCACTTGAGGATTTAGAGATTCCTAGAGAAGTATGATCCAGCGTGTGATCCAATACAACAACCAGCATAGTTATATTGTTTGCTGTGTACCAATCTTGTTGTGCCTTAAATAATAATGTATTTATATTCCGCCCTATCTTCCCGATGGGATTCAGGGTGGATTTCAATCACAAAACAGTCAAACATTCAAACATTCAATGTCTGAACATATGAGAATCTAGTAAATTCCTAGGAAGATGAATTTTCCCAGGAAACAGGTAAGTCCAACCATAAATATGGATTCTGTAGCATTACTGTCCTTGTTTGTCAGACTACTGTCCAGCCAAGACACAGCTGAAACACCCTTCACTGACCACTCTCTCTTCTATTCAAGATGAGAACTAGTTTGTCCCTCTGCAACACTTCCTTGGCCACATTCATATCAGTTAACACCCTGCTTGTGTGCACCATGCATGTTCAAATATTAGTGTTTCATTATGTGCAATTCCATGTTCTGCATTTTGTAGTAGAGAAGAAACCAAACCCTCAGAAGAAAGCTAATGCAGTAGGGAAAGCAGGACAGAAGTCAATTCCCTGTGGCTTTTGATTTAGATCAATAATAAGCTGAATAGTTCCAAAGAGGTCAGAAACAAATGAATCCCAGCAGGGAAGACAGAAGCAACCCATAAAGCGCACATTCAAAAGTTGCATCCTAGCATGAAGTTACCAAACTATTCCAGTTGAAGAGCCACCTTGTCCGATTCATTTTTTTTTGTAAAAACCCTTTCCACTTGATATCCTGCATCAATCTATGTACAAGGCACTATCTTGTTTCATTCATGCTATGTATTCAAAGCCACTTTAGCATCACAG